AGTAACGCGTCATGTTTTGTTTCTCTCACAAACGCCTGGTGTGATCACTGATAAAATGGAAGATGGGAAACGGTTTGGAAAAAGCACGTGCAGCAGTGGAAAACGCTGACCACCTTTTTGGGGTATACGTAAAGTGCATGAGCAGAAATGATATAAAATGCAACGGTTTGTTGCCAAAATACCGAAGGTAAAATACACGAACAAACGCTGTCACGTTTACCACTGCAAAACAGAGAGATCCTTCTTCTGAAACACACTAACAAAAGAAATGAGACCTCAAGAGAGAGAGAGAGCAAGAGAGAGAGAGAGAGAGATGAGGCACATTGTTGCCAAGCAAAAGAGGTTCTTGCAACCACCGTCAAACTGTTTGAACGTTACAGACAGACTGGCAGTACACAACCAGTGGCAAATCCCCAGAAAGACCGGTACCGGTAGTCATATTGACGGACGCGGCAACAGCGTTAGGACGAAGTATCAGACAGACTGTGCTTCGGCGTCTCTGGATCCCGGGCCGTACCTTTTGTGAAATGGCCTTGGCCCCAAAAACATCAACGTCGAAGAGGACACTGGTCAAGAACAGCACAACAGTGGCAGGACTTGACTGACGAAAGATGATCAGCTTTTCCAATAATTATGGTCGTCCTCGACGCATGGAGAAACGATTCACATCAGGGTGCATTCAGAAAGTGCATCCTTGCGGTCGGATGATCATATGGCAGCAGCCAAAGAACAGGAGTGGTCTTCATTCGTAGCAACGTCGACAATGACCAGATCAGATGGGATTAAGTTCTTGAAGCCGTTGTGTTACCATTCCTTCGCCAAACGCAACAGGGAGCACTCTTGCAGCACGACAAGGCTAGGCCGTATCCTGGAATGGTCGTCCAGCAATCCAGTCCTGTGAAGGGCTGGGTAAGAATTAAACTTCAGCAACATATACTTGTCGTTAAAGGCGACTAACAGGTTCGTATGGTCAAGCTCGCTGACTTGGTTGTCCCATGCCATCTTCGCAGGTTTAGACACAAACTTCAGTGGTGAAACGTGCAAAGACGAGCAGAGTAAGTGACAATCCTAAGTTTATGTTCAGTGTGAATCTGGGATTAGAAACCCCGGCCAGCAACCTGACGGAGTCTTTGAGCACTGAGCTACTCTTGTATAGTTTAAACATACTGACCTTAGAAATTTAGGTGTATATGAAAAAACTGTCTCATAATTCGCATAAGTAGATTAAGACACAATCACGCCATTAACCCTATGTTAAATATGAACTGACGTAAAAAAGAAAGTACACACCCTTCTTTGTGCTTATTCTTTAAATATCACAACAATATAATGAGAAGTTTATTAATTGTGACCTACAACCTACAAATGTTGTGCAGGTGTTAGCCGATACACCGCAGATACCCGTAGCCAATTGCGAGGAATGGTGGGGTAGCTTAGTGGTTAAAGCGTTCGTTCGTCACGCAGAAGACCCAGGTTCTATTCCCCACATGGGTACAATGTGTGAAGCTCATTTTTGGTGTTAGTATTGCTAAAAATGGCGTGAAGCAAAACTCACTGGATTGTCTGGTCCAGGCACTATCCAGGCGTGTTTTGGCAACGCGCATGCACGGGGTGTTTGTGACTTGTAAGTCATAATTAAAACGCTTTTCAAAAATATTACCGTTGTTTTGGGCGAAATACCCCTCCCTACAAAAAAGAAAAGAAAAACCAGGTGTGTAGTTTCTTTAATACGTCAGTTGATATGACGAGCCTGTCTCATTTGACTGAAATGTAATCAGACTATTATGCATTGGAAATCATGACATAGCTTTCAATGCATTACGTATATGTATATGTTACAATGTACCATATAGAAACCGTTCTTGAGTTATTCTTTGGGGGACATTTTCAGACGTTAATATTAGGGAATTCGAGATTCTTGTTAATATATTCCTGAAAGGGCAGGGAAACAAATATAGAAAAATCGATCATTCCTCTTGGCAACTGGTAATAATTCATAAACTGATGAATGCTGACGACAATATGTGACTGATCTCTTTGCTAGTTACACTTATACAAGATGTCACCAAATATCGGATATCCTTTTACTTATCGGAAATTATGGGTTTTTTACAATTTCATATTCTGCACGAAGGAGGAGGTTCCTCAGAATTGGATTCGTTTGTTTGTTCGTTTGATTGATTTATATATTAAAAGCCACACTCAATATTCATGTTTTTTATAAAACGGATTGTATATAATCCAGTCAGGCCCAGACAGTTTGGTGCTATGGTAAACCGCTTGTAGCCTTGACATATTCCAGGAAATCAAGTTCTTAAATATCATAAATATTTGTAAATCGGGTTTCTCTGCAACATTATAGACGTTTGCCCACGCGTTGGAAACTGAACAGGATTATGTCTCATTAACGAACCGAATGTTGCCATTTGTTTGTAATGAAACGGAAATCTGAAGATGTCAATAGAGTGACTATTATGAACTACATCGTCAGAATGTGAGTGAGTTTAGTTTTATGCCGCACTCAGCAATATTCCAGCTGTGTGGTGGCGGTCTGTAAATAATCAAGTCTGGACCAGACAACCCAGTGATCAACAGCATGAGCATCGATCTACACATTTGGGATACGAAGACACACATCCACCAAGTCAGCAAGAGTGATCACCCAATCATTTAGTCACCTGTTACGACAAGCATGGGTTACTGAAGGTCATAACTATTAGAACGTAGTGATTGTTTAATAATGCATGATCTGCGTCAGTAATTGAAAGGATACATTTGGTTATTAGTAGTTGATGTATCATATAACAGAATTAAAAGTTATGTGCAATATCAGGAGGTTCTGATAATAACTTGTCTGCTGTTATACATATATTTAATGTATTTTGTTAGTGTGCATTAACAAAGGCGATTAAATCCTATTAAAGGTAAGCCTATCTCAGCTAAATGCATTGTCCTTTGTACGATTCCGAGTATGCCATAACCAGGGCCGTAGTTAATTTGTCTTAATAGGAGGTGCACTATCCACGTTCGAGGCCGCGAAGCGGTGGAGGATCTAGGGAAGTCCGGGGACATTCTCCCCCGTGAAAGTTTTAAAATTAGATACTCTCAGATACAATTTCCTGCTTTCTGTAGGTAAAATGACTCCATTTATGTAATCTTCAATTTTGTATAAACTATACTCATGCCAATAATGGTTGTCACCCTCCCCACCCCAACCCCACACCCACACCCACACCCCTCTCCAATAAAAATAAATTGAAGGGGTGACAACCATTATTGGCATGAGTATATTATCTTTTCTGCTTCGTTTGACCAAATATTTTCATGGCTTTTTTTTAAACAAAGTTTCTCTGTTCAAAATTGTAGCATCTGTACATAATGTTCTGAACTAAACTTTATAAATATGTTTAGACATATCTGTATATGCAAATCAACTGTTTTGTTCAGTTTAACTATTAATATACAATAGTTGTATTATTAAATTCAGTTGACCGTCCAGAAATTGCACGTGAAATTTACATCATATTCATGACATCTTCAGGTTTTTTTGGAGTCATGGGGATTAAATGCAATCTTTTTTTCTAATTAAATCTTTTGTTCGTTTATTATCATTAGGTATTGCACAATTTGCCTTCGGTTTATAGGCTTCCAGGCAGCCTATGACTGTGCCCTGGGTTCCAGGACTACGGTGAGGGTATATGACACTCAAAAGAGTGTTATATCAATACTTTGATGTACAAAAAAATAATCTGTAAAAGAGTGCTATTGATCACTGGATTGTCTGGACCAGACTCGATTATTTACAGACCGCCGCCATATATAGCGGGAATATTCCTGAGTGCGGCGTAAAATTAAATTCACTCACAAGTCAGAGGGGTTTAAATCATATAGACTCCTAAATGTATTATAGATACATTCTTGCATATAAATGAGCATGAGTCGTGGGTGGTAGTAAAGCAATTGACATGCGCTTTATCCAACATGCTCAAAGCACAAAAGCATCTGAATGATAATTTTGATGGGATGAAGTTTGTTTTTGATATTTCACCTCTGTTTTACAACATCTTTGTATATATTTCGTGAAAAATGCCAGGCATACGCTTAAGTTATTTATTACCTACGATGGCGCAAATATCGGGGTTCATATTTTTCATACGATGCCCTAGGGCAAAATATCACTTTATCATGGTGACGTGACGTCATGAACAATGCTATGGCGTCAAAAGCTTCTTTTGTGACGTTGCGTTCTACAGGTTTGAAAGTAGATTTTGGGTGTATTTTCCTCAATTTGACGACTTCGGTAATAAATAGAATATTATATGAGTGCCCATGTCATACTATGTTTACGACACTCGTGCCTAAATATCGGTATATCCCTCGCTCTCGCTCAGGAAATACCATTTCTACTAAAGGCACTCGTGTCATAAACATATAGTACAGGGGCGTAGGAAGGGGTTTCAGAGCGGGGGGTGGGTGTAATTTATGAAAAGTATAGAAAATCAAAATGAAATTGTAGTTATGGTAAGGTAGATATGGTTTCGTCTCGAAAAAAGTGGGAGGGCTAAGCCTCCCCACAGGCCTTCGTGTCTTTGCGAAAATTATAGATCAAGAAAAATAAAAAAATTTAGATGACCCCCGACTCGAAATGCTTCACAGTACAATACATTATGACAAGTATTGTACTGTGAGTCATATCGAATCGGGGTCATCTCAATTTTTTTTAATCTTTAATCCTCGCAAAGACACGAGGGCCTGTGAGCTTCTTCCCCCCACACTTTCCTACGCCCCCGTAGTATGACATGGGCACTCATATAATATATCCTGTGTATTTTACTGATTGATGTATGCACTTCCTAATAGGCCATAATCAGCCTGCCACACCACAATACTGGTTATTGAGTGTACAGGAGTCGAGTCACACCGATCAATCACACTTACCTCCCTTTACCGGTGCGTCGCGCATATCTGGCTCGTAGCAGCGCCTGCTACATGTTGCGACTACCCTCTAGTGTTGATAAAGATGATGACGTCGCTGTTTAGAGTTTCCATAAGCATGTTTACCCTACAGGACCAGTGCCAGTGTTTGTGTCATTTGTAGGGACAAAATTTGGGAGCAATGCCCTCGAGCAAGGCGTGTCATTAAACTGTGCTCTGTCATACCTCAGTAAGTGTGTTTCCTTACATTTGAACCAGTTACTCTATGAACTGTATATCCATTTTGCTCTCTTTCACCAAGGGCGTCTTGTGTCAGTGTCACACTCAAAGTTCGAGAATCGAGGCTGCGTCTGCCAAGAACGTGATAGTGATGAAAAGTAAAGTAATTTAAATGCTAATGCTATGAGAAACCACTGTTTCATAAAGCACATCCATGTTACCCTGAGAACATAACAGTTACAAAACATTTGCTTGAATGATCGTGAAACTGGAGGTGTGACATCTGTTCCAAGGGAGGTAACTCTTGATCTGTGGACTGCCAGTGCACATCGCCAATTATTTTGAAAATCGACCATACCTTTAGACTTACTGTCTTTTCATTGTAGAGCTAGGTAAACTATGGATTTATGAAAGCTAAAATAAATTTGGAACCAAACATGAATGCTAAATTAAGCCCAATTCAGGCTAATTTTAGAAATGATAACAAGGAATCTCAACCATTTCCAGTCATGAATTTATCATGTTTATTTAACTCATAGTTTGATCAAGCCAAAGAAAGCATCATGTTATTTAATGAAGCTGCCTTGTTGTGGAAGAGTTTACAGCCTTAAAATTAGTTTTTCTTAAAATATCTAGGAACACGACGTTTAGCTGGCTGAACTAGAAAATATCCAGAATAGCTAGTCCTGCTTGAAGTCGACAAACATAGTCAACTTGTCATTTTGGCCGTCATTTGAATTTAGTTCCAATTTGATTTGTTGCAACTATGTTCAAAAGTGTGTAATGTGTGAAACTAAGGCATTTTCCACAGGCAAATCATTAATTGCTTGATTGCCATACATCATTACAATGATATCTGCCAGATGTAACAGTGTGTATACTGGTACTCATCCAGAATTTCTGGTCATGTAAGATCACATTATACTACCAGTACTCTAAATAGATAGACTGAAATATACCCCCAAAATGCCAAAATACATGTTTGAGCTGGAAAATTTGAAAGGTTTTTAGTCCGACTGTGAAATCATTTTTGACACCTTGAATCAGCTCTTCAATGGCTTCAATTTGAGGAAATTAAGAAGTCTATTCAAAAACTAAAGGTAACCCTTGTCATTCTTTTTTGTACAGGAATGTATTCAAAACAGATTTTTACACCTCTGTGGCGCCAACTCTGCCTGCACAGAAGTCACAGAGCAGCAGCCATACTTCCACAAGTTACATCATCTCAGTGCTCGTTCTCTACAACCACAGACACTTCTTCCCATGACAGCAAATATCCAAATGAATTGTTAGGTGATTCCCAAACCAAGAGAGCCAGCTTCAGTATAACAGCAAGGAAGTCATCATGGGATCTGACACCCCATATTAAGGACAGTACAATTGAAGACCTGGAACTAATGTTCACTAAGGTATTGTTCTCACATGAAATGTCACAAGTTTTAGCTCGACTCAACGAACTCAGAAGACAGGGCTGTGTTCAAGTGGAATCTCTGGGCTCGGGAAACTTCAGTCTGTTTGAAGATCGACTCCTAAATGGGATTCCGTATTTAAGTATTACAGACACTGTCAGCTGTCTACTTCCTCTCATAGAAATGTATGAGACTGATACTGCTGTGATAGAAGCACTGGGACAGAAGGTTCTTGAGAGTATACAGATATGTCCTCTCTCGTCTCTCATCAAACTTGTGTCACATCTTCAGAATCATCAGCAGAGCCCGCTTCGTACGAAGATCATCCAGCACGCCTCGACCAGACTCGGCGAGCAGTGGGAGGACATTACAAAGCCGTCTCTCCTCCTGTCGTTGATGTATGCTGGGTACTCTGTCAAGGCAACCGATGACCTGGCTCTAACACTTGTGCAAAACATGAGTGCAAAACACCTCAGTCGGGTCCTCTTTGTTTTGGCAAAGAAACAACGACGAAATGAGCCCTTGATTCGAGCTGTAGTGAAACATTTGAATAAACAGACACAAGATATGAATACATTGAGTCTTAAAGACTTTGCCAAACTTTTCTATGCTTGTAGCCGGCTGAATGTTTATGACACTGAGTTGTTAAGGAGTATTACTGACAACACGACCAGTAATCTACAGCCAGACCCCTTCACTTTGTTGTCAATCTTGCGGTCACTGTCCGAGCTTCAGTGGAAAGATGAGACACTCCTAGAGGGACTCACTGGACTCTTGGAGAAAGGGCTGGGGGAACTGTCTGCAATGGACAAAGCGAAGGTAGTCATATCTATTGCCAGACTGAACTATGTCAGTCCGCAGACGGACAGCTTGGTGAAGGTCATCTTGTCATCTGACCTTGCGTCTGTTCGAGATGAAGATCCCGCACAGTGGCTTGACCTTGTCTGGTCTCTAGCGATCCTCAACAAGGCTGATAGTGCCATGATTGTCACCGTCCTTGACTCAAGCTTCATGGAGTATTTTCCAGGTGGGTTAACAGCCCTTCCAATTAGTCTGTCTCACAGCCCCAGAACCATAATTTTGTCCCTCCCACCTGGACTAACGCTTAGTCTCTGAATACAGTCGAGCACCGTTGTGTCGAACTCTGATAACTCGATATCTCGGTTGTCTCGATATAACATCTCGGTCCCAGAAAATTCCTTCATAATTTATCATTATTCAAACTCTTTTAACTTGATACAGATGTCTCGATATTTTGGATATCTTGATACAAGTTCATGGTCCCAACAAGCAAAATTACCCTTTTAACTCGATATTTTTCAAAGAAACTCGATATTCACCTACCTTTCATGGGCAAGTATCCCTCTGAACTGAGGTAGTTTACCCACATTTACACACGGTGCAGCATGAATCAAAAAGATGTGGTGGCGTTAACTAATTAGGGCTAATTGAGTTGAAGGTGTCACATATTTTTGTTATTTAATTAGGAGGAATTAATTAGGAAGTACTCACTGTTACGACTAAACACTACTGATAACGGATTATAATTTCGAATCAAAACATACTGAGAATCCAATGAGGGTTTTGTGTAATCACTTGACTAGCCTGTGATTGTTGAGTTGTTTCTAAATGATATGCGATGATATGCCCTGGTCGGATGTCTCGAAGTTCAGATAACTCGATATTTTTTCTTGGTCCCACGAATATCGAGACAATTGTGCTCGACTGTATATATAATTTTGATAGTAACAAACAAACCCATTGAGATTGAAAAAGAGCCCCAGGGAGACCAGAGGTTCAGAACCTGAGGACATTTGGACTTGCTTCACTTAGAGCTTTAGCATTGCAGAGAGGGCTAGGTGGTTGGGAAAATAAGGTGGTTCAGGGACTGTGAGACAGACTAGCTCCCACCCAGCTCTGTCTCAAATGCAAGAGCTCTAAATAAAGCAAGTGTAGATCTTCCTCAGGTTCTGAATCTCCCATTTCACCAGGGCTCCTGTTTATATTGAACAGAGTTTCCATGTAACTTATTTATTTTCAGAGACTAAGCATTAATCTATTTTCCAAGATGCTATTTGAGTTATGATAAAAAATTAATTTTGTTAAACTTTATTGGGATGAACAGGGGTGGAAATAACCCATTACCCGACGCCCGAGTCCAGTGTTTTTTTCTGTCGGGCAAGCAAATTTGTATATCAAACTGTACCGGTATCCAGTTGACTTTCCAATATTAATTATGTTGTTTATTTAAAAAATCAACAAGAAAACGGCCGGTATAGTGGAAAAATTATCAGGGCAAGTGATTTTACATGTGCCACTGTACCGGAGTACACTATCAATTTTAAAGTTATTTCCACCCCTGATGAAGAGTAAGATGTATGTCTACCCCATGATGATTCCATGGTAGAACTGGTCCTAAGGAACCAAACCTACAAGCATTAAGGAACTGTTTCACTCATCATATTCTTTTCTTAAAAAGGGGATTCTGAAATGTGAAATGAGTATTTCATGAATCCTTTCCCGATTCTGGTTTCAGTGGAAGACACATACCGCAAGTGGTGGACTGACATGAAACTGATGAACATCAACACAACGGCTCAGCTTGAGCTACCTGGCTATGACGGTCCTCTGCTGCCTGCTCAAGATCAGCCCAAGACCACAGAGGTACATGGAGAATATTCTGCAAGCTGTTTGTTTGTGTAACACCACCCTAGACATTATTCCTGCTGTCTGGACCAGATAATCCACTGATAGATATAATGAGCAATGATCCACACTGCTGGGATACAAAAAAATCGCCTCTTGTGACAAGCATGGGTTGTTGGTAGGGGTGACTATTGAGGGGAAACAACTATTTCGATAGCGATAGTCTATTGCAACATACTATTGCGATCAACTATTGCAATACAAGACGGAAGTCAGTTACTAAACAATCGATAGTCACACATACTATCGATGCATAGATAGGTTTTCGTCTCCACCATCGATTAATTGCTATCGGAGACTCAACAATTGCAATCCATCGATAGTTTGATGCATCATTACAGCCTTAGCAGGGGTGGAAATAACCCATTGCCCAACGTCCGAGTCCAGTGATTTTTTCTGTTGGGCAAGCAAATTTGTATATCACACTGTACCAGTGTCCAGTTGGCTTTCCAGTGTTAATTATGTTGTTTATTTAAAAATCAACAAGAAAATGTCCGGGTATAGTGGAAAAATTATCAGGGCAAGTGATTTTACATTTGCCACTGTTCCGGAGTACACTAGCAATATTAAAGTTATTTCCACACCTGCTTAGTTATTGGGGACCTGAACTAACCTGGTATTCCCATTGGGTTCATACATACCTTCATAGCTAGGTCTGGATAACTTACATGGAAAGTTCAACACATCATCATCATCATCATCATTATCATCATCATTATCATCAAACACCACCATCATCATGATTCATCCCCACCATTATGAATAATAATAATGATAATCATCATCATGAACAATAATATTAATAATAATCATCCTGCTGACTCCTTGGACTCAGGGAAGAATAGGTTCTCAGTATTCTATGTTTATTACAAGAGGATTGGGTGGTCAGGCTCCGTGACTTGACATGCCATGCATGTTCATGTATCGGTGCTATTGTTTACAGTCTAGGGCTGGGACAATACACTATGTCACAATACATTACATCTCGCGATATTTTACCTGCAATATGTATCACGATACATACACCTTGAAAGAATGACACGGTATCAAGATTTAAAATGATTTATTTCAAGGTATTTGTGTTTAACAATAACACTATTGTAATAAACAAACAAGTAACTCCATCATACTTGCGTATTTTTCTCTAAATAAGAACTGTAACATGTTTAAGATAATAATGTTTTGAAGAAAAAGTTGTGTATCGTTTTGTATCGATACACCATTCCACGATACAATAGCTGTATCAAACTTAAATGTATCGCGATGCATCGGTGAATCGTCCCAGCCCTATTTCAGTCACTAGTTTCTCTGGCTGGTTGTGTTTCATGGCTCTGTGATTAGTCGGAATATTCATCATGATGCAGCTGTAGCAACATTCACTCATTCTCACTCAAGTTTAGTACAGAATTGTACCCGTGAAGATCCGGGGTAGAATAGGTCTTCAGCAACCAATGCTTACCACAAAAGGCGACTATGCTTGTCTTAAGAGGCGACTAACGGCTCGCTGACTTGGTTGACACATGTCATCGGTTCCCAATTGCGCAGATCGATGCTCATGTTGTTGATCACTAGATTGTCTGGTCCAGACTCGATTATTTACAGACCGCCGCCATATAGCTGGAATATTGCTGAGTGCGGTGTAAAACTAAACTCACTTACTCACTCACTGATACAGAATTGGTCTTGACTGCCACAAATCATCATTGCTCGCACAGTAGGCGTCTAGATTGTTTGTCCAATAAGCGTTGATATGTCAAGGGCTGTATTCTTGATGAAACCATTTTCATTGACTTTGTCTTACAATGTCGAATGGTTACAAAAAACCATACTGAACCAAACCACAAAAATTGTGTCAGGAATGTAAGTGAGTGAGTGAGTTTTGTTTTACGCCGCTTTTGGCAATATTCCAGCAATTTGACAGCAGGGAACACCAGAAATGATCTTCACACATTGTACCCACGTGGGGAATCGAACCAGGGTCTACAGCATGATGAGGGAACGCTTTAATCACAAGGCTACGCCACTGCCCATCAGGGCCTAGATTTTCGAAGCTCTCTTAGCGCTAACATAGTCGTAAGTGCCATACATTAACATTAACTTACGACTAACTTAGCGCTAAGAGAGCTTCGAAAATCTAGGCCCTGGAATGTAAAACATTCAATTCATTTCAATTCTCATACCAACCAAACAATATGGGTCAGGAGGACAAGAAATATTAATTATAACTGGCAAAACCTCAAACCCACAAAGTCTTAACGTGCCCAAATCAGTAACCCTGAAGAGAAATGTCCACTTGTACCAAGAAGTGTACACGCCACAGTAAACCGATCATATACTCCTAGGTTTAGTTCATTATCACATGGGGCGGTGAGATAGCCTGGTGGTTATAGCATTCACTTGTCCCGCCGAAGACCCAGGTTCGATTCCCCACATGGGTACAATGTGTGAAGCCAATTGCTGGTGTCCACTGCCGTGATATTGCTGAAATATTTCTAAGAGCAGCGTAAAATCATACTCACTCACGCATTATCACATTCAAAACTAAATGGTATTAATAAACAGTACAGTCGAGCAGATCGTTTAATATTATTTGTATTTATTGTGTTAATTGTTGCTTCACTGAATGGCGGGGGTTCTTTTAAAATGATGAAACTTGGGGCTAGTCCTCTCCGACATTTCTGTTCAAGTCGTCATCTGATAGCAGGAGCTACACTGTATTTGTAAGACAGATTGCCAGTGTAATGATCTTTCACAAACATTCATAATGAATTATGTATAAAACAAAAGGTTATCAGCTTCTTGGCACAGATTTGGCCAGATAAGATTGAAAGTTACTTTTTTGAGGCATCAGAGTTGAAATATTTAAATGGTTGATACCTAAAAATGATGTTATTGTGTTTGGGATCTATATGGCTTCATGATGTCCAAATGTGGTCACGTTTAACATGATTAATGCACATTCTGTCCAAAAGCTGCTTCTTGTTGCTGTTATGAGTGAGTTTAATATTACGCCACACTCAGCAATATTCCAGCTATATGGAGGTGATCTGTAAATAATCAAGTGTGGACCAGACAATCCAGTGACCAACAGCATGAGCGTTGATCTGCATAATAGGGATATGATGAAATTAGCCTGACCATCCAATCCCATTAGTTGCCTTTTACGACAAGCATGGGTTACTGAAGATTAATTCTACCCTGGATCTTCACGGGTCTTGCTGTTGTGGCATATGTACATTCCTGGTCTGTTCATGCTGTTGTATTGTAAGTGCCGTAGGTCATGCCAAAATCCTATTATTGTAATCCTCAGGTTCAAGTCTAATATCCATCCAAACTATCATTCTCAGTTCCTCAACACCATACAGTCTTTCACGACACTCATAGAAATGTAAACAAAGTGCATGTGATTCCATGGTATTTGATTAGGTGATCATCGTTTCCATAAACCGAAACAAAAAGGGTCACGTCTGCTAACGGGACAACTGTCTCCAGATTGGCTGATGAAAGAAAAGCGAGAACAGGATGCATTATTGAGCTCTACAAAGTTACTGATTTCTTATTGTTGTCTACAGTCTGTGTGAATGTTAATGAGCAGTCCGAAGCTGTTGATACATTTTTTCATGAGAATTGACTGATATGCATTTGTGTTCATGGTTGTATAAGTTTTTGTCTTGTGTGTTACAGTTTATGAAGAAAAACAGATCAAGTGCCAAACTAATTGAAAAGGCGCTCTCAACAATGGTTCCTTTGGAGAAATATGTTAAGTCCAATATTTTCAGCAGCTCCGGATATCACATAGGTTCGTATGTTGCCCATTTGATGAACATTTCCTATTGCACATCTTTGATAACTATCCATTTTGATGAATTTAACTACTCAGATCCTGATTGGAATTAGGTTACCAAGACAACTCAAGAAGGAGTGAATGATTTTTACGCCGCTTTTAGCAATATTCCAGCAATATCACGGCAGGGGACACCAGAAATGGGCTTCACACATTGTACCAATGTGGGGAATCAAACCTGGGTCTTCAGCATGACGAGCGAACGCTTTAACAACTAGGCTACCCCACCGCCCAACACAAGAAGGAAATAACCTAAATTGGGAAGCTTGAACAGTCATGAATACACAATCATAGTTTGACATTGTATAAAACATTATAAAATCCATAAGAGAAAGAATTGTAGTTGAATTCCGTTTTTGTTTACAAAATTATCAAATTAACAAACAGTTGATGATCCTACAAGGTATTACTTAGTTACTTGCAATGTGTCAACATTTACCCATCTGTTATGTTACAGTATCATGTTTATAACAAACAATTATAGAATATTCTGATTATCAAATTTTGATAAATGCTGCATAAAGCCCTAACTTATGTATATTATACAATATATTTATTCATTTACAACAGAGTTCTGTAACTGATTGCCTAATTTTCAGATGCTGAATTGTTTGTCGACAAAAGTGGAACCCCAAAGCCGTACGACACGTCAGTTGATGACCCAGAACTTCATAGGTAATGTATTGTTATCCCCGTAGTGATTTGAAACAGGAATACAGGTTTGGGCTCACTCCATCTGTCAGAAAATGTGACTGACACAATGGTGACGTTGCAGAGATCGTTAAGTGATAAATATGTTGAACAAGTTTGAAAACCTTTATAAACAAATTATGTTGTACAGATCTAGCGTTACAGCCCTTGTCAATCTGTAGCACTGATACAAGGATGATATTTTACATAAACCATTATGGTATACGCATGTTTATCCAGCAGTTGATAATTTAGAGATATACACCCTGTCTTATAACACTACATCAAAATGGGATGCAGTTTGGATGAAGGATAACATCCTAAATCTTTAGGGAATTTATATGCTGAATGAGTTTGAATTATAATTGGTCTCAAGCAACCCGTGGTTGTCGTAAGAGTTGATTAATGGTATCAGGTGATCAGGCTCGCTGACTTGGTTGACATATGTCACCGTATCCCAATTTCGTAGATTGGTGCTCATGATATTGATCACTGGATTGTATGGTCCAGATTTGGTTATTTACAGACTGTCACCATACAGCTGGAATATTGCCGAGTGTGGCTTTAAACAACAACAAACAAGACACCTGAGTTTGTCTAAGAGGTATTAAATCCAATTTGTTCAAGAGTTTCAAATCAGATTTGTTCAAGTCCAGGGCTTAGATTTTCGAAGCTCTCTTATCGCTAAGATAGTCGTAAGTTAATGTTAACGTATGGCACTTAAGACTATCTTAGCGCTAAGAGAGCTTCGAAAAAACTGGGCCCAGTACTGCATGAGTTTGTATGTTGGCAGGGTGTGTATCCTAGTACAGGACTACCTAGACATGACACTTCACGACATCGCCCCCACGGGGGCTCCAGGCTATGAAGGCACGGCACCTGTCTCTCCTCGGCTACAAGGTGGTGCAGGTATGTCCATGAAGGTCGCCTGTGGGGATACCAGGTTAGATCTGGTCCCCAGTAACCTGTACTGACTGTATGAGGCGACTGAATGGATCGATTAGGGCATGGTGACCTGGATGATTGCATGTCATCTCACCCAGACGATGTGGTTTGTTGCTCGCAAAAGTCATGACTGGATTGTCTGGTCCAGGCTGTTCTCCATCATGTAGGTTTGGGCTGTGGGGTAGTCAAGTGATTAAAGCGTTTGCTCATCACACCGAAGACCAAGGTTGGATTCCTTGCATGGGTACAATGTGTGAAGCTCATTTCTGGTGTTCCCCGCCGTGATATTGCTGGAATATTGCTAACAGCAGCGTAAACCCAACTCACTCACCCCATCATGTAGGTCAAGTATTGCTGTGTGGGGCATCCCATCAAACAACACACAATGCACCCATATATCATTTCATATTGGACAATCTTGTAGTTATCAAAACTGTTAGGGGCGGTGGGGTAGCCCAGCGGTTAAAGCGTTCGTTCATCATGCAGAAGACCCGGGTTCGATTCCCCACAAGGGTACAATGTGTGAAGCTCATTTTTGGTGTCCACTGCCGTGATATTGCTGGAATATAGCTAAGAGCAGCGTAAAATCATACTCACTCAACCAATACTGTTACACCCATTTCTTGTGTTCCCCTGTGGGGCTGAGATATTGCTTAAAGGGTGAAAAATATTCTCACTCATGAGTGTCCCATTTAGGAATTAACGCCCATGTTATAGTCCCAGTATTAAATGTGAAGTATTGAGGGTACTGCTGCATTTAGATGCTGATGTAAAAACTTGCAAGGACCCACAAACATTTGCGTATTTAGAATCTATGAAAATATGTTAGTTGAGACATTGTATAGGTTTATACACTTAATTTCTCAAAAGGTGAGGTGAGGTGAAATTGGGTTTAACGTCGTACTTGAGAATATTTCGCTCATATGACGACGTGCATGCGTGTGTATGTGTATGTATGTGTATGTGCGGCTGCTTGTACTAGCCCAGACTTAAGCTGGTTTTATAGTGCTAGCCCACTGAGATACCATGCCGCAGTGAAGCATGAATACCCCACTCAAGACACCTGTCCTTATTGTACCAATTAATACCGAGCGCCAGGCAGGGACCAACAAGTGCCATATTTTAACATCTTTTGGTATGACGCGGTCGGGGATCGAACCCGCGACCTTCCGCTCTCCGGAATTTCTCAAAAGGGGCTTAGTTGTTAAAGCATTTGCTCATCACGCCAGGTTCCATTCCCCACATGGGTACAATGTGTGAAGCCCATTTCTGACGCCCCCCAGTGTGATATTGCTGGAATATGGCTACAAGCGGCATAAACTAAACTCTCCCACTCACTCATTTTTCAAAACCAAGAATGTGACTGTACTACAAAGAAATAGTAAAACAAGGGATATCTTAAAATACACACAAATGTTTTTTACTGACTTTTTCACAAAACTTGTTATTGAATGTGACTTTAGGTTTCCTACACGGACCTGGCAGACAAGAACACAGTGGTGAAGACTGTACAGTACCTGCAGTCGAGGCTCAAGGAGGCAGTGGGCGCATCATAGAGATATAGACAGTCTGAGGGATGTACAGTACCTGCAGTCGAGGCTCAAGGAGGCAGTGGGCGCAACATAGAGATACAGACAGTCTGAGGGATGGACAGCATTGGTCAATATAAGTTGAGATGTCATGCTGAAGGAATATGACATAATCCATTGGTTCTCAGTCCTGAATGGTTGACCTATTTTGTTATAGTGGAAGAGTCCAAGCCATGGTCTCATCATGGTCTTATAACGAAAAAATTACTGACATAAGGTACCACTGATAGGGTCTTAGGTCTATATAAAAGGCTCCATTTATATCATGTTGAGAACCCATCAGTGACCGTATGTATCTTGATGCCAGTTTTTTGCATTACAAACCCATCTCGCTCACCCTACTGAAAGAAAAGTGAGCCTTTGTCATGGCCTGTTTGTCTGTCATAAACATCCTTCAGAAACCGCTGGATCAGTGAAGCTGAAACTATTGGCATGTAAATTTCTTTGACACCAACAAACTGAGGAAGCAGTATTCTGGCATGGTTCTCCTTTTGATTCCCGCATGTTTTGTTCAAATTATTCCCCACATGGGTACAATGTATGAAGCCCATTTGTGGTGTCCCCCATTGTGATATTGCTGGAATATTGCTATAAGTGGCATAAAACCAAACTCTCACTCACTCACCACTCACTCACTCAAATTATTTATGTTACTATCAAGAAATTATGCAGAAACTTTTGAATAGCATTGAGGACAGCAATTATTTTGAATGGAACATATTTAATTATTCACTGCCTATTCAGATGACTGCCCATGTTGTTGATTGTCGTGGTTCTCAGAATGGAGGATATGTCACTTACATTACACAACTGATCACTGAACTTTGTGCCCCATGTTTTAAAGTGGGTAGCAGACTGATTAGGAACATTTGCCTGGATATCATCCTCACAATTTGCAAAAGTATAATGTATATAAGAGACTGGTAATTTATTATAGAGGGGAAGATCACTGCACCACTGTGTGCTGTAAGTTCACTGGAGATCAGCTTGTTTTGTTTTGCGTTTACCGTAAATGATCTGGGCCCCATTTCACAAAGCTATCATAGCGCTACGACTGTCATAAGTCGATGTTACAGTATAGGAGTTACGAGAGTCGTAGCACTACGATAGCTTTGCGAAACGGCGCCCTGGTGTCCATTTCGAGTTCAGATCAAAGAGAAAAATGGGGCGCCATATTTTGCTGAGTGACGAGCATGTACTTGTCAGTCCTCGAAATTCATGCTAACCCAAGACTTGCACTGAGAACAGGTAAATATCCAAAGATGTAGGTTCTTGTTGGCTTGCAGCCTTTGAGGGTTTTTAGTCTGAAACAGTTCTCAGTGCTTTAGTTTTGCTACAAATCGGAACTGAATAAAAGCGATGGAAACTGTAAACATGGTTAACACTTTGCGCCTTTCAAGCAGAACTTGACTCAACTTGTCGTTAACAATACAGCGATTAGGACTTGCATCAACATGCTGGGCCTGCTCCTTTGCCTGGCAGAGTGCCCCTTTAACTGTACAGGAAAGTCCAACATGTGACCCATGTTAATGATGGTGTGTCTTAGTTATGGAAACTGCCATTCAGTCATGTTGATATATAACACTGGTGAGTGGCTCAGTGGGTAGTGCTTTGATGAGAAATGTGGGTTCGAACCCTGAAACATGTACTGGTGCATTGTACGTAGGGTACATTTTTTAGAGATCAATTTTGGTACAATTTTGAGATCAAGTGACAAACATTATTATTGCCCCAATGCCGTCTTTGTGTTTGGTGAATGTATATGCATTAAAGAATATTTATGAACTGTTTATATTTGCTCGTGTTGTCTATTTGAAGAAAGTTATAGATTTGAAGTGACACTTGGATACATCATCCACTGAAGAATACTGTAAATCATGAAATTAATGTGAGCATTTTATTTATGCGAAAAATGTGTCTGTACTCTTCTCGCATTATTATAATGACGCATTTCAGTCTGTCTACTTTTGTTTCTTTCAAGTTGGATTAGGTTTATAAATGTTGTCATTAGACAAGTAGTAGCAAGCAATCACGTGATCAAACAGGGCAGCGTAATCAAAACATCGTCAGCTCATTTCCATTCATTGCTTAACAAGCTCAATTCAGTTTTTTTTGTAAATAACAAGTGTGAACAGAAAATGAACATCAAAGATTCAGGGTGTCACATTTTATCATCAACACAGATTCCTGAGCTCGCATTAATTTCGTGACGCATTTTAGACTAGACCCTCACACTCGCATGAAATTTGTGACGCATTAATTTCATGATTTACAGTATAACAATCCATTGCATATACATGTATTATGAATTGCATATACATGTATTATGATTGGCTGTCAATATATGGGGGCGGTGGGGTAGCCTAGTGGTTAAAGCGTTGGCTCGTCACGCCGAAGACCCAAGTTCGAATCCCCACATGGGTACAATGTGTGAAGCCCATTTCTGGTGTCCCCTGCCGTGATGTTGCTGGAATATTGCTAAAAGCGGCGTTAAAACCAAACTCAGTCAATATATGGAATATGAGTAAAATCCCTCTTATAAACTAATTGTTATAAATTTCTTGCCATGATGAAAATATTTGATACTAAAAGAAAAACAGGTTAAGAAAACATGGGGGTAGTTGTTTGACTTGAAGTAAACTGAAAATGTGCAGGTTCCATGACTAAATTGAATACTTTACCTACCTCTTGGTAGTCGGTTCAGTGTGGAAAGTGTCATACATATAGATATATAGCCATCATGAACATATGTTCAAGCAATACCAGAGCAGTTGAGATGCTATTAAGTACTGTCTGGTCACCTTGATTATTGAACCATGTATGAAAGAACATTTACTCACTCATTTCAGATATTTGTCAAAAGTTTTGTTTGTCCATAGTGACTGCAAGCGCACATGGTATTTGCAAATACCTGCAGATACTTTACAGGATAGCCAAAGGGACACAACTCTGCACGGCACATTGTACCACCTTATATCGCCCCACCAGACTATAATGTGTGTTGAGCCCATTTTGCAGTAATGAATTCTTATGCCAAAACTACTTTAATAAAAATACACAATGCTATTTGGAAAGTGCCATTTAGAAAGTGGTCAAATGTAACACGTTATATTTGGGATTACACTATCTCAGTGAAGTACAGATTCTAGTACTTTTGTCGTGTTGACTCCCATCCGAGATTTGAACCCACAAACTCAGAGTCAGGCACCTAATCGCTAGCACACAAAGTCAGCTGCCTAACCCGCTCAGTCACCGCAACTTACATAAAAATGTAAGTCGGACAACTAGTAGTCTAGACCATGGAGTTTGTGTACCCCTCTGATAAGTGTAAATTGGCACAGCTCTCGCGGCTTTCCCACGAAAGCTATGAGATACACAATTCCCCACATGGGTACAATATGTGAATATTGCTAATAGCGGCATAAAACTAAACTCACCCACTCTTACAACAAGCACAGGTGGCTAGGGCTCCAAAGTTCAAGCAAGCAGTGAAAAGAAGGACAAAGGCAAATATTGCTTGATACAATTTAATCACAATGTTTGTGACTCAATCAGACAATTACTGTAGCAATCAGTAACTGGAAATAGCATAAAATACATATATCTGTACATAGCATGCTAAAATACTTCAGTGGTCTCCCCATACAAATAACACACAATAGTTAGTTTTTCTCGTCAGGCAGCGCTGGTCTCGACACCATCAGCATGACAGACAAAAGACATATGTCACCTTTTTAAGTTAATACAAATATTTTAGTTTTAACTACACAAAAGCAAAATAATGTGTGCACATGTACGTAACTCCGCTAAAAAGAATATAAGCCATGGAGAAAAAGAACTCGTTCTTACATACATTCATGCATGAAATTGTAAATTAATATCCTTTCTCTGAAAATATCAGATTTCAGATCACATATTCCGTTTCCATAAAATTATTTATTAGAAACAAAAAAACATCCTACCTATGGAAGCAGATGTATTTGATTAGATCTAGAATGATGCTATATTGTTTACTTTGATAAAGAATGAAAAAACTTTCACCAAAAAGATCAAACATGTTACTTCGAGATATGAAAATCTCGAACTATAAAGAAACTGATCTGGTATGAAATAGAACGATTTTCCATCATCACAAAATATAAAGAGAAATCAGTATGATAATCAATAATGTTGGAAAGACATACAAAAGAATTCACCTGTCCTTGCATATTTCTTCAGAAAAAGACAACTGTCCTGGACTCAAAATCTTACAGGTTGGTGCCATAGTGACTACATCTTGTAGCTTCATAGGTTGAGAGCTGTAGCAGAGACCTTATCAGCTTCTCTCCTAGCCGTTCCTGACAGTTCAAAAACTGTAACAATTCATCTGCATGAGTCTTCTTTATTCTGGTTATGTTATGTCCATTAGCAGTGTATGAAATAGGCCAAAAACCCAGCCAGACATCTGGGCTGGTAACTTCAAAAACTTACCAGGCCAGAGGAGATTTAACCAGTCCTTCTTAAATCCTAAATAGGCCAGTGGACACGTTATCTGAATATTTTTTTTCACCCGTCCATCGGGCTGGCTAGCTGTAAAATCAGACCGTCCGGCAGAAATCTAGCCCATCTCGGGCGGTCAGATGGGCCTTATTTCATACACTGTCATTAGTAAAAGCAATGATGCCAAAGGGATAAGATATTTCAACAATCAACCGATCCAAGTATTTCTACTGCCACTTAAACCATGTAATGGTTGATGTATAATTTATATATAGTTTGCATAATGACTTACAGTTACGTTAGTTTTACTTGTTAAACAGCACATACAGAAAACATATAATGAATTTCTGGCTCAGACTCTACTGCAAGAACAATAGTACGATTTCATAATAATTATTTAAAAAACAAGTATCAGATTTGTTTGTTTCTAACATCACACTCAGCAATATTCCATCTGTATGCATGGAGGTGAGCAAGTCTGGACCAAACGGACAAGGAACTGACATACAGTCGAGCCCCGTTTACACGGATGTTTTCGTAACGTCTGAAAATCGTCCAGATAGTGAGTTTTCCGGCTATTTGAACTTACCAAGAAACACCATCCAGTTGTAATCACCATCAAGTGCAGTTTAATGATGCACAATAAGGTACCGAGTATCCCCTTACGGTAAACGTACATTGCTGGGAATGTTTCTCCCCTGGAATCTCCATGGATACAAGAATAAGAAACTATACAAAATGATATATGTACATGTAAGCATAAAAATTGACATGTAAATGAATTGTGGAATTGTTTCTAAACCAATGTTAGTATACCTGACTCAAGATAATAGAATAATGGTTAGTTTTATCTGTCTTTATAGTATTCCCAAAGACCATACAAGACACATCTTCGTGTAATCTCATTAAACTCCGATCTTTTATTCCAATGCGACACCTCTCTGTCTCAAGATCTTACTACGGTACTGTGACCCCAGACTTCCAGTTTTAAAGGTGTCCTTATTACAGAGAGGAATCACATCAGAGCAATAGATGCAGGCCCTATTCATCAAAGCAATAATAGCACTAAGACAATCATAACCTCCACAGCACAGATTAAAAATTACAGTAATAAGATCGCCTTGTGGAACGAGTCAGATTTTAATGAGAACTTATTTAAGAATCATCCTGCGTATGATATCACATCAAAATATATCGTTAGAGCCATCCACAGTTGCATCAACAATATGGCTCCATGAAGTATAGACAGGTATATGTCCTCTGAAATAAAAACATTTTACAGAAAAAAGTTTCTATAAAATATACCAAAAGAAGCCCTGTAATCTAGACTTGCCGACTATTATTTACTTGCATGGGCTGGATTGGAAACAGTAAACTACGCAGTGATGGATATTACGAACTATATTTTTGGTCCCACACACTTGCAGTATATTTAAGTCGAAATCTGTAAAACAAAACATGGCTATAACGAACTAAACTTGGTGGTCCCTTTTGGCTTTCTAACTGTAGATAACTATATTGAGGGAAAAAAATAAGGGATCCCATGAAAGCACAAGTGTCCCCTTATTTTTTTCCAGGTTTCTCCACAAGCTATGTGATGCAAAGCTTGTGAAGAAACCTGGAAAAAAATAAAGGAACACTTGTCCTTTCATGTGATCTTTTTTTTTCCCTCAGTATATATATTTGTTGCAGGGCCTGTGCAAACTACATAAAGTATTGCATGAAAATCCACAAAACACGGTTCATGATTATGCTGTTATTTATCAACCAACTAAACAAAATCTACGTAAGATCTGATGAAAGTGCAAAATGGGATGCATAATAGCAGGTATATACAACAATGTATCAAATAAAAATAATCAACGTACAACTTATTTGCTATGTGCAGAAATGTAACGATCTAGTCCAATCCAATCAGTGAAAAAAAGACCAATTTAGAAGGGTGAATGTAGCTTTCAAGACTGGACAGACGATTTCTAACCATTTCTAACCATAACATTGCAGTTGTAGTATGGCTGTAGTAATGCTGGTGACATTAATCTGGAAGTCACTTGTGGACCTTGTGCATATAAAGAGCCAGTCTCACTTGCCACAATCTAGACTGGAGAACATCACTACTTCAACTCATTAGATGAATGTTGATCTTCACAATCTGGACCTTTCTGCATAGAGGGAAGATGGCACAGGGGAATCAACTCATACAACATTGCCAAGCTGAGGTGGGTACTTGGTTCTAATAAATTCAAAATCTGAGTATTAAAGTGACACATTAAATTAGTATAAAAATACACACTTAAAGGAAATCTGCTTGTTCTCCAGGTAATCACTGAATCAGTGATGTAATTAATGAGAAATGTTTACTATCCCAACAAGTTATCACAATTGATCTTTACAAGATACAATATATTCCACTTGCCCTTGAATACTTCTTACAGTGGACTAGTAAGTGAGTTTGTGAGTCTAGTCTTACTCCACTTTTAGCAATATCATGGTTGGGGACACCAGAAATGGGCTTCACAGATCATACCCATATGGGGAATCGAACCCGGGAGGCATGGTACGAGTGAACACTCTAACCACTGGATTACCCCTCCGCCCTATACAGAAGACTATTTGACATGGGCTTAGCCAAATTGCATTCCTGTTGAAAATTTTTATTCCATACTTAAAATGGAACACAGTTATTTTCTTGCCTCTTGTCTTAAGTCTTTATTACTGGTTTGGTTCAACATTCAGAATAATTTGACGCAGTTGGTTCACTTTAATCACTAGACTTCAAGGGTCATTTTTTTTGTTGCTCAGTGCAATGCAGCACAAACTTAATTTGCATATATCACAAACAAATGATTACTGAATTTAGGTATGGATTAAGTTATGGGAAGCAGACCTGACTTCATTTAACCAGAGTCTACACTCTACTACACAGCTCTATGAACTTGACTAGATTATTCTGATCTAAATAGCCGCTGTTGCACATGTTCAATATGATATGCAGAATGTTTGTTTGTTTGTATGTATAATTCCACTCTCAGCAATATTCCAGCTACATGATTTCAGTCTGTAAACCTCGTCACGATATGGCTGAAATATTGCCTATGTGACGTTAAATATTAACTCACTCACTCAGTCTGTAAAACAATCAATTTTGGACCAGACCAGACGGTCCAGTATTTGACATGGAAACATGCAATAGCTAAGGGTCATAACTCTGCAGTACATATTACCTCCTTAGACTAGGAGTTACTTCCCTTTGACATGCTAACTTCATTCAGAGTAAAAAGCTTCATTTCTTGAGCAAGTTAACACACAAGCAGATAACCTTAGATAAGGAGTTACCTCCCCTTGACATGACAATTCATGAATGTAATAGATCATTACAGCACTATTTTATTATATAGGGAATGTAACAAATGTGAATAAATATTTTCATCAAAGCTTGTTGCATAATCAGATAAACCAATCCACACATCACAAAGAAAACACAGGAATGTTACCATGCCAACACAGCATCTAAATATGATTCACCAGAGGAAGGAGGAATCGTTTAGTATAAACACCCCTATTCTTTGTCCCAGTGGAATGATAAGGGAAGAATATCACTTAATGCATAGCAATACACTGTAAAAAAGACACAGCTTCAGGCTAACTGGAATCCTTAGTAACCAAACCACCATATAGATATACTTGCAATTTGAGTGTATATTTTAAAATTTAAAACAAAACAACATTGAATATATGCTCTAGTTCACGCTTCATTTGCATCTTGAGTTTCATTTATTTCAAATATAGGCATTGATATCTTGCATACTCCCCAAGGAGTTGAGAATGACTCAAGTGCATACTATCCTGACTGGGGTCATAGAGTATTGAGTGAGTTTAGTTTTACCCCACTTTTAGCAATAATCCAGCAATATCACAGTTGGGGACACCAAAAATGGGCTTCACACTTTGTACCAATGTGGGGAATCAAACCCGGGTCTTTGGCATGACAAGCGAACACTCTAACCATTAGGCTACCCCACCGCCCCTCATATTATACTGCTTTTAGCATTACATTCAGTAATAGAAACTGTGCAGTATAAATATGCAAATTGTTATTTTTTGGCCCTACTCTGCAAATGCAAGGGTAGGATGTCATATTTCTTACAAATACCGGTCATATAGAATTAAAAGTCAACAACAACCCTGGCAGCCTGAATCACTGATGTGATAAAAGCTGGTCCCGAAAAAAAATATTTTTTTGTTGGAATGAAGGTGTGGTGGTCGACATAAAACAACTTGCATTGCCATGACAACAGGATATGCTCCACAAATAAACACATTACATAAACAGTATGCAGTATAAAACACGAAAAGTTTCAAAAAGCTTTTTCTCTCTCTGCTCCTGCGAATAACCTTACTGTATGATTTGGTGAAAAACATGTAAATTCCACTAACTAATTATAAAATACAAATATAGAAAGTGTAAAAATAAATCTTTCCGGTCACCAACCATGGGCCTGGTATGGTCACTAAGCTGAGGTGTTTTCCCACATGTATTACGATATATTCCTAAAGCTACAACATTTGCATATTTCTTACATTTCTACGGCAAATGAAAACTGTGTGCATATTTCATACAAAAAAAACCAAACAGATTGCTCCTTGATCAATGAGTTCCTCTATTCTATAATTCTGTAAATCTGATATTTGTTGTTATACATATAATAGATATTCTGATCAATATCAAACTTCTAGGCAAAGCATGTTCGTTGCATCGCGGAGGACAATAAACGATCTCGTTATTGACAGACCAATCAGCACACAGGTTATAGGCTACAAGGAAAGGTCAGCAAAAGGTCATCACATTCCTTAAACATAATCATACTGCATCTTTATGACTAGTTCCTGCATGCGGAAAGCCATTTGGAAACTTGGTTCTGTCTAGTGATGCTTTTTGTTTAGTTTTCAGCCATCAATAATCCGGTAATTCAATCAGTGTCCTTCATAATGTACAAATTAACTGCAAAAATATCTTTACGGCAAAAGAATGACAAGGAGTGCATGTATTTCATGCTTAAAATACAAACATCAAGTGGGTGTATGTACAAAATATCTGTAAACAAAATAGCATGAGACTCTCTTGTCTCCCAAAGGAGTATTTTTTTCAATCATCACATATCCTTCAACTTGACCCAGCGGCCATCACTTCATGGCCTCTGGTTTAAGGGGTCAAGGTCATCTAATGAGAAATCATCTGTTCCTATTGAAAGCCCTCGACTGAAGCCAGTCTGAAACAAAATAAGAGTCAATAGTACAATACTATTTACCTGTACATACATTCTTATTTGATTATACTGACCAACAATGACAAATAATACCTCAAGTGGCCAGTTTTTTCCTGCCAGTCTTCAAAGAAATACCAGTTTTACATGACATTTATGCTGAAACAAAACTATCGATATTACCACCCTTCTACCATCCCAGCAGCTAAGTAGCGACATGGTTTAAAACTTCGTTTATCACAAAAAAGAATAAATTGAAAAAAAACATATAAACAATATAGAGATTTCAAGAAAGAACTTGTGTGGCTCTTCTTTTATAGAAAACATCTCATAGTATGAACAAGTACATTAGTATTCTGTGTTAGCCAACAATCCCACTTGCATGTATACCTGTAAATCTAATAGTTCCTGGTCCACGTTCTGGATAGCCCGGTCCAGCTCTGAAGTCGATGGATTGAATACTCCCATGCCAAAAGGATCCGATGACGAGGCAGCTCCCATGGAGGTCGGGGAGAATGGGTTACCACTGAATCCTGCAGGTAAACATTGAGTGGGTTTTAAAGCTCTGTGAGCAATATTTTAGCTTAATGTGAGGGTAGGATTAAGGGACACAGGGGAGGGACATTTCCTATCTTGGAGAAACACAATCAGTGATCTTAGCCCCCACAAAGTGATCATAGCTTCCACAAAGGGATTTTAGCCCCCACAAAGTGATCACAGCTTCCACAAAGTGATCTTAGCCCCCACAAAGTAATCTTAGCATCCACAAAGTGATCTTTGCCTCCCCAAAGTGATCTTAGCATCCACAAAGTGATCTTAGCATACACAAAGTGATCTTAGCCCCACAAAGTGATCATAGCTTCCACAAAGTGATCTTAGACTCCCCAACTCTCATTAGTCAGTGTTAAAGAAATGTGTATTTTGACTGATTGAGCTTTTAGGAACACAAGTTATGATCAACCTTGCACCGAGATCAATTGTGGATCAAAGCCCAGGATTATATCTAGTCAGACTTGGGTTTTATGACCAGTGATAGATGGCAATTTGATCTCATGTTCAAGTAATTCATAAGGGTGAAAAGACATTTATTTTAGAAATAAATAATGAAATACACACACATATTTCATACATTTTTCAATACTTCAGAACATAACCACAGGTTGCTCATAGCTAGACTGACTGACTGACTGAGTTTAGTTTTATGCCGCTTTTAGCAATATTCCAGCAATATCACGGCGGGGGACACCAGCAATGGGCTTAACACATTGTGCCCATGTGGGGAATCGAACCCGGGTCTTTGGCGTGACGAGCCAACGCTTTAACCACTAGGCTACCCCACCGCCCTGCTCATAGCTAGAAACAATTGAAGTATCCAATACACCATTCCTCAGGTAGGTTGGTTGGTTGGTTTGTTGTTTAACACCGCACTCAGCAATATTCCAGCTATATGGCAGCGGTCTGTTAATATTAAAGTCTGGACCAGGCAAGCCAGTGATCAACATCATGAGCATCGATCTACGCAATTGGGATACGATGACATGTGTCAACCAAGTCAGTGAGTCTGACCACCCGATCCCGTTAGTCGCCTCTTACGACAAGCATGGGTTACTGAAGACCAATTCAAACCCGAAACTTCACGGGTGCTCAGGTATAAGGCTTATACGAACCTTTCTGTTTCTGTGAGGCTGTTGCAGCTGCTACACCCTGAGCAGCAGGCTGGGTGTGACTTCGCGTCCTCGTTGATGGGGGAAGGGGAGACACTAAAATACACACGTCACTCTGATTTAGGCAATTAAGTCAAAGTTTCAGGATTACACACAGGTGAAACAGAAAGATTAAAATGCAAGAAACATAGGTTCAATAGACATAGAAACTCTTCCCATGTTGTATTTCTCCAAATGAATCAAACTAAAAATTTTAAGATTTTGTTTATTTCATATATTACACACTTGACATGAAATTTGAGGTATTACAAAAGATAATCAGAACATCCATTAATCAAACCAAGTTTTTGATTATTTTGCTTCGATGAAGGCCAAATTTATTTTATGTGTTCTTTTACTTGAGAAATTCAAGCATGACAACATACATAGGGGAGTTGGTTGAGCAGAGTTTTGTCGTTGAGCGCCACCTGGTGTTGAGTTGCCATTGGTTCCATTGGTGCCGTTGGTCTGTGATGCTGGAGGGAAGTCATCGAACACAAGATTCTCCAGACGTCTGCCAACTGCTGACTGAGACTGCCAACAACATATTCATAAATATGGACGAACTGATAATAACAACATCAATTAGTATTTTTACTGATTTCTAATTGACTCTTTACAAAGTCATCTTGTGAAAAATAAACTTCACCTAAAAACTGCTATGTTGTAATTATATACACCGTTCTTCTAAATACAAAACTGACAAAACTTTCATTTCATTGTTGCATTTGTCTTAGAAAAGCAATCTTTTTAAGTGCATATCATAGTTTCTTCTGTAATGTATAAAATGTTAAAAATACCTATTCCACAGAAACACATGAACACATGAGAAACATCAGATAGATAGATAGAAGCTCTGTGTCATGTCCATTTTGAAAGAATTTAATATATACTGTAAGCCATTAAAAACGCAATTGGTATTTGTTGTCCTGAAACTTACAAAAGTTCTATTGAAGATTTTTAACTGTGATACAGAGGATGTAGGGATAAAAGGCTGTTATTCTGGCCAATTTCGAGTTCAGGTCCCGGAGCATTCCTCTCACATGAACTTTGATACTGAAAACTGAACCTTTGACATTTCTCGTAAACACAGCCACATTCATGAAACACGTTGTGCACATGCATTACCTGCACCAAGGCCCTGTAAAAGCACAAGGAATTGTGGAACTCAATCACTTTGAGAAAATGCCACACTTGACACAAGACGAAAGGAATCAGGTTATCGGTATGGTCAGCCAAGGTGCTTCAGATGTGATGATTGTCAGGCACTTTAATGTGCATCCATCCACTGTAAGTCGACTCAGACAACGTTTTCGGGCTACCGGAAGTGTTGCTGATCGTCCGCGACCTGGTGCACCACCTGTGATAACAGCTCAACAACACCGCAATATCCGAGTTTCACACTTGCGAAATCGGTTCCAAACAGCTGATAATTAGGCAAGGAGGACAATTGGGACAAGTCAACGTCATTCCAACGCCCAAAAGGTGCAAGGACGCCTTGCTGCCTTTAACATCCGGTGTCGTCACCCCTACCGTGGTCCAACCTTATTGCATCGCCACAGACTTGCCAGACAGCGATGGGCAGCAAATGGGGCCAATCTTGGCAACAGGACGTGGCCAGATGTCATTTTTTCAGATGAATCCAGGTTTAACTTATCCTTTGCAGATGGACGTCAACAGATTTATCGACGTAAAGGAGAAAGACTTGCGCCAATCCGTATCCTTGAACATGATCGTTTTGGAGGGGGGTGGTGTCATGATCAGACCACAGACCATCAGAGGCTGCAGACCATCCATCAGCTGTACCTGAGAAATGTGTGTCTTTCAATGCCCCAAAGACTGCGAGCATGATTTGCAGCGCACGGTGGACACACACGATATTGACTGCAAGTGACCCCTCCTTTGTTTGATGTCGTTGCTGCGTCACTGATGTTGTTGTTGACTGGACATTTTCAGATGAAATTATTCACAGATGTTCACTCAGAACATATCTGCCAGTTAGGTTTATATCTGTTTAATTTAGTGTGAGTAAAGTAAGTATGAATGTCAAATTGTGTTTTTTTAATGGCTTACAGTGTATATTTTGAACAGAAATATCAGGTCATAAATTAATTTGAAGATCAAATGTTATGGATTGACAACTTCTTCACTGCAATGAATACAACCTTTCTGTAATGCAAACACTGTTATCAAGCAAGTGATGTGTTAGCATGTATCTGCACCAAAATGTCACACCTATTGCCATAAAGAAGCTGGCAATCCATAAAACCTTTTCTTCTTCACTCTTCATCATACCAGCAACTTAAAGAAGTTTAGAATTAATTTGGCAATACTACTGCCACAGTTGCCATGGTTACGATGGCTACAGATGCTGAACGAGCAGGCCATGACAATGGTCACTTGACTGTTCTGTATACAGTATTCCAGTCATAGCCAGGCGTGACAGCTTAAAGAGGGAGATGATTCATGTCAGCTTTACTTCTTATTTACTGTAATATGAATCCTAATTCTGACCAACGCTGTCAGTTCTGTCCTCATCTCTATACACACAAAGTCTGTGAAATCTAGCATCTGGTTCAGTTTTGTATACATATGAGTATACTAATGCCAGTCAGGGGTGGAAATAACCCATTGCCCGAGTCCAATGTTTTTTTCTGTTGGGCAAGCAAATTTGTATATCACACTGTACCGGTGTCCAGTTGACTTTCCAATATTAATTATGTTGTTTATTTAAAAATGGAAAAATTATCAGGGCAAGTGATTTTACATGTGCCACTGTACCGGAGTACACTGGCAATTTTAAAGTTATTTCCACCCCTGCCAGTTTTATAATGCCAGATAGTATCTAGCACCATCTAGCACTATGTTCCAGTATAACACGGTCACCCAACACAGTGAGTGAGTGAGTTTAGTTTTACGCCGCACTCAGCTATATTCCAGCTATATGGTGGCGGTCTATAAATAATCGAGTCTGGACCAGACAATCCAGTGATCAACAGCATGAGCATCAATCCACGCAACTGGAATACAATGACATGTGTCATCCAAGTCAGCAAGCCTGACCACCCGATCCCATTAGTCGCCTCTTACGACAGCATGTACCCAACGCAGACATGGTTTACTGACTCCAAACCAGTCCTTGGTTAATGCCATCAATGTAGGGCTCCAAGTACCAATTTTTAACAGTAGTCAGAAGGGGATAGAATAACTAACTTTTTCTAGGTAGAGTGAGTGAGTTAGTAAAGTTTTATGCAACTTTTGCAATATTCCTGCAATATCATATCCAGGGACACCAGAAGTGGCCTTGACGCACTATACCCACGTCTTTGGCATAACGAGTGAATGCTTAGGTAGAGACTCAGTCCACTAGACCAATGAGGCAGCCCCATCTTTATGATTATTCTTGTGAATAAGGAATCTTTCGAAAGTACATATGGAAAGGCCCTTTTGCCTATCTTGTGTGGTCATCAGAATCATATTTTGGTAGTTGGTTCTCCCTGTTGAAAATTCCAAGTAACCACTCTGATCTTACATCATCTGAAATTCTCACTACAAGAATGGAACACCAGACATAAAACACATGCAGACAGTTTAGTTCTCAATCTACCTCTTGTTCAGATGGGGAAGAAAAATCATCATCTGTTGAACTTTCCTGGAGGTTATAGGTCACAGTTGAAAGGTCAGATATCTGCAGAGAGGTCACACAGGTGCAAAGGTCATGCGGAATGTCATAAGCATTGGATCACATGTGATGCATTGTTGCATAACAAATGCAGGAATATGGCTAGTTTCACTTTTTGGGCTTTCTTTCTGCAAATGATTATGTTTCCGTTACTAATACAGTTTTAAACATCAACATAAACTTGACATACAAATGAATACTGTTCATTTTAAACAAGTATAAATATTTCATAAATATGAGACAGTTATAAAATATGACATCAAAATGATGTAATATCAAAAAATAAAACCAGCCATGCCTGCTCAAGGGCCATAACTGCAGTGCACATAAAGAACAGAAAAATGTTAAACTGAAACCGAAAAATATAATTTATTGTGAACTTCACCTGACCCTTTACTTTACAAGAAAACAATGTGAATTACATTCATAACAATATAAGATAACTTCATGCAGCACGACAAATAGAGACAAAACTTCTTAATTTATAAAACTAAAAGTTGGAAATGACTCTCACGCAGAAACAGAATATACTGATGGGAAAAAGTAAAGGAACACATTAGTCACGAAAAGCCAACACCTGAGTCATGAAACTATTGTAATATGATACAATAAGGTATTTTCAAAATTCTTTTAAGAATTTTATAACAGAATACTTCATTTGCTCTACTTTCAGTGAAATTCCCAATGTATAATGTCATCAAAATAACATTAGGTCATGCGATCACTCTGTGTTTTACCGACATGACTGTTTAATTTATGTTTGTGAGATTATTATCTAGAAATATTACTTCCTGGTACTGATATTGAACAAAAACATGCTTATGCTTATTGGCTCTCATACTGGCCAATGAAAATTCAATATGCATTGATTGATTAGTTAATTGGGAAATATCTAGAATACTGCTATGATTAATAAATTTCATATTAATGAAGCGTTCCATAAACAAATGTTTACTTTTCCAAACATTAGCTGGTTTTCCTCTGAGGTCATGTGAATTTAGTTTCAACAAAACTGTTCCCTTACTTCTTTCCATCAGTATACAAGGCATACATAAATATGACAGCAGAAATTACTTCAGTATCATGCGCATGCTAAACAGAAACATAATCCTTTACTAATGCAGAAAGACAAGTCTAGAAGTTCTATCCATAGAATCAACAATGACTGCACAGCGGGAGAAGATTGCTGCAAGGCGGGGTTCACAAGAATGGAACTGATTGGATGGTGTGCATATTTGTTACTATCCAGTCAGATAGGGTGAACATAGCAAAAGGTGTTTTGTTGTTCAAGTAGAGACCAACATTTTAACATTGTGTTGTAATACAGCAGCGTCATGTGACAAAGTTATAGATCGCGTGACTCTCCAATGACATAAGGTGAGAGGTCAAGGTGACACAAGGTCACAGTGTGTGAAATTTATGCCGGTCCATTCACTGGTCCTGTGGTCTAGTGGGAAATTTTGAAAGGTGTCTTTCCCTGGCATCATTGTCCAATGAAAAATGGTGACATGACTTTAGACCATATAATGACACAAAGTGAAGGTCGTATGATTGCCCAATGACACAGACACAATGTGAAGGTCATGTGACTGTCCAGTGAGACAAGGTGACACACGATGACATGTGACTGTAACCTACCTGGTTACTTTTCATGTAGTCCTGGACATCCGATCGGTCTTTGATTGATTCCAGTTCTGAAATCCTTTTCTTCAACTCTTGATTTTCAAATGTAAGCGTCTGGACCTGGAAACAGCATTACCATGAAGACCTCACAATGATTAATGAATCATTATTAGACATACATCAGATGTCTAGATGCATCATTAAGTACATACAAAACCAGTCAGAAATACTGCTGATTTAACATGTACCATTGCTCAAACACAACTATGATTTTGTTTAATAAGACATCAATGAATGAGTGAGTTTAGTTTTACACCACTTTTAGCAATATTCCAGCAATATGGGGACAACAGAAATGGGCTTCACACATTGTACCAATGTGGGAAATCAAACGCTGTTCATCAGAGTGACGATCAAACGCTAGCCTACCCCACCACCCCCATATATGAATGAAGTTCATAGAAAACTAATATTGTGACATCATGCAGTACTTGACATCAGGTATACCTTTTTCTGCAAAAGCAAAAACTGTTTCTTGACATCCATGTCTTTGCTGGAAGACTCGAGAAAGCGCTTATAAGCCAGGTCAAACGCCTGTCCCACGGTCAGAGTGATTTCCTCCGCCTGAAAGAAACCACACACCTAGCAATTATCCCTTTGTCTGAATTTTTTCATTAATCACTAATATCTACAATCGATTTTATCATTGAAAAATATTACTAAAGAAATGTTTTACAGTATTTTACTATCAGTATGACGGCAATAAATTAACTAATAAAATTTGAAAGATGTGCAGCTGCACCTTCAGATAGGGATACGATGACTAAATATTTGGTATACTTACACACTTATCACTGTCAAAGACATAGCAGAAGTGTTGACTAGTATTTGGTGACTTGGCAATAAAGGTAAACATCCTTTTGTCCGATTTGTCGTCAGCGCAGTAGGATATCCGATGGAGAGGATACTGATGCATGATCATCTGCAAGACAGTGAGCAATAAATCCTACATCATTAATCGTCTATTACAGATCATACGTAATACCAGGTAAGCCATGATTTATTACCCAATATCTATGTTGCAGAGAAACTGCAGGATGTATGCCAGAGTCTTCATGCTGAGCGGTGCTTCCAAAAGCATCGTTTCACCATTATTATAATTTGGACCTATTTAAGAATGAAACCTGGCTCATGACAAACGAACACCTGATCCATTAAACTATTATACCCACTAACCTCCCATCCACTGTCTTTCTATGACTAAATGTATCCTAAAGGTTAACAGAAATTATGGTCTTTTTAAAGCATTTCTAAAAATACTAAACTTAATTGTTGACAGGACAGGGTGTATCCAGGTGTGCCCTGAATGTGATTGACTATGACTGGCTGGCTGAATTTGGTTTTACGTTGCTTTATGCAATATTCCAGGAATCGAGGCGGGGGACACCAGAAATGTGCTTCACAAATTGTACCCATGTGGGGATTCGAACCTGGGTCTTCGGCGTGACGAGCCAACGCTTTAACCACTAGGCTACCCCACCGCCCCGATTGACTAAGAGGATGTTCAGGATGAACCGATACACGATGCATATCACAGCACGTAGGTCACATTACTATTCAAATCCCGAAACACATATTCACATTAAATCATGTGAAAACTAGAAATATTTCAGAGCAGGTCTCAAAGGAAGAGCTGCTCTCTAGATGCAAGTTTGTCAAAGCAATTTTTTACAGTGAACATGAAATGCTGATTACAAGCCATATTGTGATATTGGACTGACAATATTTGGGATGGGGAATGTCCTTAGTGAGTGGTAGTAAGTGTATTATCTTGTTTCAATAGAGTGAGTGAGTGAGTGAGTGAGTGAGTGAGTGAGTGAGTGAGTGAGTGAGTGAGTGAGTGAGTGAGTGAGTGAGTGAGTGAGTGAGTGAATTTAGTTAATTGTATCCCATGGGAATCGAACTCAGGTCTTTGGAGTGGCGATCAAGCGCTTTAACCACTAGGCTACCCCACGCCCGATTGACTAAGAGGATGTTCAGGATGAACCGATACGATGCATATCACATACGTAGGTCACATTACTATTCAAATCCCGAAACACATATTCACATTAAATCATGTGAAAACTAGAAATATTTCAGAGCAGGTCTCAAAGGAAGAGCTGCTCTCTAGATGCTAAGTTTGTCAAAGCAATTTTTACAGTGAACATGAAATGCTGATTACAAGCCATATTGTGATATTGGACTGACAATATTTGGGATGGGGAATGTCCTTAGTGAGTGGTAGTAAGTGTATTATCTTGTTTCAATAGAGTGAGTGAGTGAGTGAGTGAGTGAGTGAGTGAGTGAGTGAGTGAGTGAGTGAGTGAGTGAGTGAGTGAGTGAGTGAGTGAGTGAGTGAGTGAGTGAGTGAGTGAGTGAGTGATGGGTGAGTGAGTGAGTTTGAGTGCCAGTGAGTGAGTGAATTTAGTTTTCTCTTAGCAATATCATGGCGGGGGACACCAGAAATGGGCTTCACACATTGTACCCTAGTCTGTCTCACAGTCCCTGAACCACATTATTTTCCCTACTGCCAAGCCCTCTCTGCAGTGCTAAAGCCCTGAATAAAGCAAGTCTAGATTTCCTCAGGTTCAGGTTCTGAATCTCTGGTCTCCCTGGGGCTCCTTTTCAATATAAATGGGCTTGTTTGTTACTATCAAAATGATATATATTCAGAGACTAAGCCTTAGTCTAATTGTATCCATGCGGGGAATCGAACTCAGGTCTTTGGAGTGACGATCAAACGCTTTAACCACTAGGCTACCCCACCGACCCTGTTTCAATACAGAAAACATATAGGGTATTGTATTGTTGCATGAAGACTCACAATGCATATATATCTATAGGATATGTTTTTATACAAACAGAAATAGATACTGCCAATGACCTCAAGCCTGTTCAGTTTCATCACATGTTCATAAAACATAAATGCACAGTTCAGTAAGCTGTTGAGGTCATGTCAGATCACAGAATGAAGCATCCTGCTGTGTTAGCAAGCTTCATCAGATTTTTGGAATAATGTCATGATCGGTGCATAGTTATGCTCTGTGGAATATCAGGCGCATTCTTGTAGCTAGGTTCATTTTAAATAATTAAGGGATCACTGGTTGCCTCGGAAAAAATTTACATCTCTAACACAGCTGTTTCAATTATTGAACATGAACTTCTTGTTTTAGTTGCCCTGAGTGATTCATTTAGCAATCAGCACTTTTCATTGGCTGAAAGTCACATGGTCCAGTCAGGATTGGAGCTTACACATTTTTTATAAAAATATTACGAGGAACAGCAAAAGCTGAGAGCAAAGGTTCAGAAATAGATCAGTTTGAAGTTGCAGTTTGTGGTACACCATCTGCCTCTCTCCATTGGAGATATGATAGGAAGCATCTTGTATTCATTAACAAGTGGGTTTTAACGAGCCATAAATAAATCAAAGTCTCTGAAGCAACAGTTAATTATCTCCAAGCCATTTCACACTGTGATGTTTTACAGATCTGGGACTGACAAACACATTAGAAACTTAATGTCTGTTAACGATTAGAGGTTAGACATCACAGATGGCCAAATGGTTGTTATGCACAGTTGCTTCCATTACTCATACCAGGATCTCTCTCAAATCATGGGGGGAAATCTGAGATCAGCTCAGATAAGATTCGGGTTAGACTTGGTCTTCAGTAACCCATGCTTGTCAAAAGAGGCGACTAACGGGATCGGGTGGTCAGACTCCTGACTTGGTTGACACATGTCATCGGTTCCCAATGCTCAATGCTCATGCTGTTGATCACTGGATTGTCTGGTCCAGACTCGATTATTTACAGACCGCCGCCATATAGCAAGAATATTGCTGAGTGCGACGTAAAAGTAACCTCACTCACTCACTCAGATAACAATTCATGGTCTGACAACACCATCCCCATGGTTTTCCTCCTAATGTAGCCAGCATGTCACGATATTACTGAAATATTGTATAAAAGTATTCTAAAGATGCTTAACCCAAGACAGTTACTTATCAATAAAAAAACATTTTCATGTTGCAAGTAAATTGTTGTATTCTAGCACTTACATAAATATACAATTATACTACTCAACACACGTTCAAGACGTTGACACCTAATTCTTTGCTATTAAAACAATCCGTCATCATCCCAGCAGTCAAGGATCACATCCCCATCACATCTCATCATAACTTCAGCTTTAAAATCTAAAATTGTTATCAGTTGGTTTGGTTCTCACATGACCTAACATGACCTTGACTTGGTAAATCATTGTTTTTCAAACCCTCAATCACTGCTCCAGAATTATTAAAGATTACGTCAAGTGGATTGAAGGAGCGTCTCCTGTGACTTTGCCTGCAGAACCAGATGCTTGTGATAGCGTCGGTCAGCGACACGAGCCGGGCCTGACCCAGATGTCTCCATGTAAGCCTGACACACAGATCACTGTGAGGATTGTATAATATTTGCCGTCAGTGCCAGTAACTTGGCTCTTGGAGAGAGTGAGAATGGTTTTAAACTGCTTTTAGCAATATTCCATTGTACCCGTGTGGAGAATCGAACCTGGTCTTCGGCATGACAAGCCAATGCTCTAACCACTAGGCTACCCCATCATCCCTTGGCTCCTGGATGGATGGATGGATTGGGTGGATGGATGGATGGATGGATGGATGGATGGATGGGTGGATTGGATGGATGGGTGGGATGGATGGATGGATGGATGGATGGATGGGATGGATGGATGGATGGATGGATGGATGGATTGGGTGGATGGATGGATGGATGGATGGATGGATGGATGGATGGATGGATGGATGGATGGATGGATTGGATGGATGGATGGATGGATGGATGGATGGATTGGATGGATGGATGGATGGATGGGGTGGATGGATGGATGGATGGATGGATGGATGGATGGATGGATGGATGGATGGATGGATGGATGGATGGATGGATGGATTGGATGGATGGATGGATGGATGGATGGATGGATGGATGGATGGGATGGGTGGGTGGATGGATGGATGGATGGATGGATGGATGGATGGTGGATGGATGGGTGGGTGGATAAGATGGATGGATGGAAGGATGGATGGATGGGTGGATGGATTGGATGGATTGGGTGGATGGATGGATGGATGGATGGATGGATGGATGGATGGATGGGTGGTGGATTGGATGGATGGATGGGTGGGTGGATTTGATAGATGGATAGATGTTCCTTATGTAGCAATAAGCCCTGTTTACTCACATTCACCAACATCATAATAACAGCAGCAACAACAACATATAAGCTACAAGGGCTTATCTCCACCACTTTCATTCACAAGAAAGAGATCCTCTGTAATTTTGGCCAAAAGAGTTATCTGTTGTGATGAAACCAAATTATGACTGCTGAGTTATTAATTACATCCTGCAGCAGTAGCTTATAAATATTTGGCACAGTTGTAATCCCATCTGCACTGCACACCATGGAGAGAATGTCGTGTGTGGAGGGTATTAGGGATATGACATACCACACCATAATTACCATAATTCCAGCAATGTGTGCTCATGTCTTCCTGTTGGATGCCACATCAGCAGCACAGGCAGATTCAGGAATTTTCTTTTTTTTTCTTTTTTTTTTTTGAACCCCCCTTGGCTCTGCCAATGCAAAACATTAACTTCAATGTGGTCTTTAGTCATTTTCAAAGAGGGGGGGAGGGAAAGAGAGATAAAAAAACAACCTCTACTTCCCCACCGTGGATTCGTCAATGAGCATTATTCCAGCTTAATGACAAGAGCCTGTGGTAGATCAAATCTGGACCAGACAATCTAGTGATTGATGTCATGATCAATAACCCATGCTGTAGGGGTACTATGACACACAATCAATCAATTGAAATTCACTGAGCTTGACCACCCGATTAATTTGGTTGTCTCTTGTCAACGAATAGTTACTATGATAATGGTCTTTACTTCCATCCATACCTTGGTTCGTGGGTCTTGAATCGTCACCCCATCAGCCGATATTGTCAGCTCTACCTTGGGAGGTTTCTGGCCCTCTGCCCTCTTAATGTGCTTGTTGAACTGGAAGATGAAGAAATGTCTCAGTTTTAATACACACAGATTGGTGAGCGTTTTATATGATGCATGTCGATAGAAAGGCTGCAATATAGAATTAGAATTATCCATGACACATTCTGAATTGGGTTGGGTTACGCCAGTTTGAACACCGTTCCCAGCATGCCATCTTGACCTCGGAGAATAATGCAAAGTGACGCAGACCTCAAATATTTACCACTTTGTTGAAACTCTTGAGTATGGTAATAAGAAACCTAGAAACCTGAGTGAGTGAGTGAGTGAGTGGGTGAGTGGGTGGGTGGGTGAGTGAGTGAGTGAGTGAGTGAGTGAGTGAGTGAGTGAGTGAGTGAGTGAGTGAAAGTGAGTGAGTGAGTGAGTGTGAGTGAGTGAGTGAGTGAGTGAAAGTGTGTGTGAGTTGAGTGAGTGAGTGAGTGTGAGTGGAGTGAAGTGTGTGTGATTGATTGAGTGAGTGGGTTGGTGAGTGAGCGCGTGAGCGCGTGATGGCGAGTCAGTGAATTTAGTTTTACGCCACACTCAGCAATATATCCACTATATGGCGGCGGTCTGTAAATATTAAAGTCTGGACCAGACAATCCAGTGATCAACAGCATGAGCATCTATCTATGCAATTGGGATATGATGACATTTGTCAACCAAGTCAGCAAGGCTGACCACCTGAACCCGTTAGTCGCCTCTTACAACAAGAATGGGTTACTAAAGATCAATTCTAACCTGGATCTTCACGAGTATGAATTTCACTCAGATCAATATACACAAATCAGTTCAGTTACTGACGAATATACAATTTCTTTCCTTCAGACAGTGTAAGGCCATTTGAGACAATTGTTCTAAATTTATTATTATACTACCTTGTGCCAACATCAGAGAAGTTGGAATTTCAGAATAAACAGAATGCACATATCAGTGGTAGTGATACTCAAGAACATTCCGATATTAACCTATTTAGGATGCGTATTTCTTTGTTACATGTTTAATAACAGAAGCCTGCTGGTCTCAATGTCCAGGTTTATTATACTTCTTTTAGTGTCCACACACTCACTTTTCACATTACTTACTTTCATTTTCCTGATAGCTTCCTTGACCACCTCTGTCCCCTTTGGGTTATCCACCGTACACTCTCCCAGGAACTGAAACATAGGGGCCACTCATGTACAATACAACACTGAAGAACCATAGAGCACATTTGGAACACTCGTGATCTCAGTTAAATCACATAATTTCATGATAAAAGTCATTATCTGAATTTTCATTGAGACTGTGTAGCTTATTCAAGGTAAGACGAGTGATTGTTTGACAATTTCTTGGGTCATTGACAAGGTCACTCCTAATGTCAAGGTCACTCCAAATGTCAAGGTCGATCACTCCAAATGTCAAGGTCGATCACTCCTAATGTCAAGGTCGATCACTCCTAATGTCTTGGCGTCTAGCTGTACACAAGTCTAACTCTGGGGCCCATCCTAATGTCAGACAGTCTGTGTTGAACAGAACAACAGTTTTAGCCTGTGAATAGTTACAGTAAGCTCATGATACGCATGATGATACATAGGTCATGATACCACATGTATTGTGATAGATATATCTATGTCAAATAATGGGGAAAGAATTTGACTATAAATGTTTCGGAGCAAATTCAAACGGAAAAGTTAGCTGAAGAACATGGTTATAGCAGTTTTTTGAGTGAAAACTATAACAACGCATTTTTCTAAAGTTGGCAGACAACAAAATGGGTGATCAGTAAATGTAAGTAATCTATGATAGTGTATTGTCTTGTTTGTTTACTGTTCAACACTTCACTCAGCAATATTCCAGCTATATGGCAGCAGTCTGTAAATAATCGAGTCTGGACCAGACAATCCAGTGATCAACAGCATGAGCATTGATCTATGCAATTGGAATATGATGACATGTGTCAACCAAGTCAGTGAGTCTGACCACCTGATCCCGTTAGTCGCCTCTTACAGCAAGCATGGCTTGCAGAAGATCAATTCAAACCACATCTTCATGGGCTGCATTGTCTTGTATCGATACAGAAAAACATACATCATGCATCGTACCACCACTTCCATGAGTAATGACACACAAACTGGAGACATGACCATGATCACTGCAAGTACACTCACCTTGACATTGTACAGGATATGGCCCTTCAAGAGGGCATCGGAGGGGTGCATCCACTGTTTGTTACCTGTACAATACACAAATGATATATTAACAATTTTACTCTCCTTATAATGAACATGTAACTGTCTCATTGCAAGTCAAACTACCGTATTTCTCTGCTATAAACGCTATAGATGTCAGCGCTGTTTCACAAAGTTCTCTTAAATCTAAGTAACCCTAAGATCTCGTAACCTTTCTCGTAGCATTTGTACTTCCTATACTGTCTTGATCCATTCCTAGCAATATGATCCATCTTAACTCCATGGTTCATCACAGGCTTACGAATGTCACCATGCTACGACCACTTTGTGGATCAAGATCCAGATCTCAAATAGAGGCGGGTCTACCATTTGCTGAAATTAAATCCCCTATTATAATAATCTACAGCATGTAATGATTACTCACTTTAATATATTTTGACTATTCCCTGCATATGCACCCTTTATATGTTCGTTCGTTCATTCGTTCGTCAGCAAGCCTGGCCACCCAATCCCATTAACCACCTCTTATGACAAGCATGGGTTGCTGAAGACCAACTCTAACCCAGATCTTCACAAGTATTGTATGACTGTAGAATTGTGGATTCAGCAAGTTGTCAGTATGAAAGTATTTAACACAATAGACACGACCTTTAATGCAAGCTGTGTCAATAATTTGCATGAAAATAATAGAAGCATCTAGCAGAGGAAATGCGGTACGCCCTAACAAAGCTCTGAGGCCAGGGAACATGGGGACGTTCTGTGCATACAAGTAATCCATACAGATATGAATTCTTTATCGGCAGATACCTAATCTTCTTAAGGTATTCATGAGGTTTGGCCAGGTATAATTGCATTTGTGGCGGAGTGACAACAGAACATGGATCAAAATATTACAGACATAAGCCATATCCAATCAGGTCAGCAAAATGAAATCTTGAATTGAACCTTCCGTTCCATTACCGAACACACTGATCTATAATACTATTGACATATTTCTTATTGAAAATCCTGAATGCCAGACTTGATGTGATGTCTAGTATCATTAAAACTGACAGGGAAATGGGTGACCAAGTTGACGCCTGTATCATAAATATCATATACATGTGTAAGAAATATCTGGCCGACTCTGTACCTTAATTACCAAACATCATGCATCATTAAGAGTACAAATTGTATTATGTAAGATTTTGGCAGGAATATTTTACTTCTATTATGTGATGTTTATGATCCATGAAGCAACATTCAAATGAACGAAAAAGCTGCCATACCACAAATTTCTTGAGGGAACATTGGTATCACCGTCCGATAATTATGCAAATGAGATCAACTGAGAGGAACTACTGTCAGAAATATCTACATGTTGAAGCAGCCTCTGACTGATAGTCTGAACCTTAAAGGCACAATGTCACGCTTTTTTCGACAATATTTTGGTCTATAATATATATATTGGGGCATATGCACTCACTTTAGCTTCCCATTGATGCAATAAAATACTTATTATCCCCAGAGACCATATAATAGACACGCATTTCGCGAATGATACATGTTCTGCGATGTTGTCAGTTGACATGTGCAAATGAGAGATAAGATAAAAATTAAGATTATTGTAATCAGTTTAATGGAGCTGTCCATGTAATGCTTAACTGTCAAACGCAGCCGGTGAAATCCCGCTAAGGGAATTAACTCTTGGTCCGGATATTACGCAATATTGTTTACGTGGTTACCAGAGTGCTCATTTGCGAATGTCTGCGCATTTGTTGAGCATGTGTACCGGTAGAGGGAAGTTAGCAGCAGGGTGTCGATGTGTATCAGTTACATGCCAGGCCGTAGCGCTGATGGTTAGTGATAAACTGTTGGGGAGGGCCGTCCCTCTATTATATGGTCTCTGTTATCCCTTATGACTTGCCTGAAACTGATAATTGAAACTTCGAGGCGAACAGCTTCCAAGCAGATAACACTTGCCATATATGGAATGTAAACGATTGCTCTGTACATCGATAACTGTCGCACGCAGTGTTGTCGTTGTTTGTAATCACAAGTTGCGTTATAGGATATTCGTAAAGAGCATTCCAAGGGACATAACTCTATGGGGTTCGCTTGAAATAAAGTTTGGTCAGTAGAGGGCGCAAGCGTGGAGTAATGCAACGTTGCATTAATTCATTCGAACTTTTTAAAAAAAATTCTGAATGAATTATATGGTAGCTTCGCTGGGTGCTGATAGTTAGTATTAATGTAATATTGATTTTTTGAGAAGTGTGGTGTGATAGTGTGCCTTTAAGTCTAACACAAATATGGGCAGCCTTGAAAATGTAGAAAATCTATTCCATATAATAACAGTAAAATTGACTTAAAGTGATGCAGATAGTGAACAGTTGCATGGGCTGATAACCTCAACAGATATGGGCACAGAATGTCATTGTGATAACTTCTTGCTCCAGTCTATTGACAAACATTCACAGTAATAATAGAGCTCTCAATGCTGGACACCTTCTCAAAGTAAAAGCGGCTACAAAATCATTTGGTGCAAATATTTAATTGGCCAGTTCATTTATACATTGTACTCCACCCAACTGATACTCACTGGTGAGAATGAAAATATGTCATTAAGTTCATGAGTTATAAGAATTACATTACAAGAGATTATCTGGTTAGAGTTCCTCCCGTTCCCCCATCCCAAATAATATTTATAAATTAATATATACAACAAAAAAATTAACAAAACCTAACACAACAATTACTAGAGAACTCACAAAAATAACTAAAAGCCCCAAAATTAATTACAGTATATAAGGTCGAACCATGCTGCGTTACCTCTGTTAATCTGCGGAAGAAAGAAGTGGACAATATGGGGGAACGGAAGGAACGCTTTCCGATTATCTCCCTTATGTGTATCAGTGTTGTAAAAATTCTGAATAACAAATACCATATTTGGCATACGTGTTGGGTGCTCAGGCAACGTACAAATTGGGGTGCAATACATAATAAACACATTAAATTGTTGTCAGAGATCGAGCCCTCAAGAACAGAATTAGTTCAAATGTCCATGAATCCTTTACATTCTCCGTAACATACCAGGAAGTCTTGGAAAAAAATAAACAACTGCAGCCTACCTTTTCCCCAGGTGTCCATGTCGCATCATACGTCATGCAATAGCGCCACCTACCTGACCTCATGCCCTTTGTCTGCGGTGTCAATACTGAAAAGTCCTTGTCTTTTAATGGAGAACTCTTCTCCGTGGATGGAGACGACAGCTTGGAACTACTCTGTTGCCTCGGCTTCTGGTTTCCAAGATGGATGAACTTCCTGTGTCCAAACTCCCTGTTTTCAATAAGCAAACTACTCTGACTACTGACAAAGTAATCACGTGCAACTTTGATAGCATCCATCTTGAAATAATATCAACACAGTCAAAAAAAAAATATAATCAACAGTTTTTTTGCAATGTCATTCGCCAATCACGTATCCCCTGGCAAAATGCTGGATAAATGAACTTTGTCTTCTCAGCTGTGAGTCACTTCTTGTATCGCTGATAAATACTGTATCTAAGTCACGATTCACAGCCATCACATGACCATCAAGAAGTAAATAAAACGTCCAGGACAGGTGACAGCGAATTACTTGCCCACAATTATCAGTAATGGTATTCACTGTACACAGTCATAGAAGTGATGCAAGAATTATTTGCATTTAAAATGTTCATGAATGTTTATGCTTGTCAAATTGGAACAAAACAGCAATGTAATCTTATTTTTCTGAAAATAGGCTGAAGCAAAATCTCTCCCAAACTTTTACTAATGATTACAGGCAACTCCCTTATCTGCAAGTCTACAGTCACATTTGTCAGACTACACTTTCTGACCTGTCAAAGCTGACATACATAATACAATTCTTCACACAGACACTGAAAAATATCCAGTTGTCTATAATTGTCTGTCAAGCAGTTATCTGTATCATGATAGACAGAATACTTGGAGAGTAAATCAGTCCATATGATCCTCGTTCCAATTGTCTAATATTGTCTATGAGGCAGCTATCGATATCAGAAAAGACAAAATACTCGGACAATCTGCCCCATAAGATCCTCGATCACAGGTAATCAGAGTCTGTGTTCAAATGGTACAAATTGTCAAAATCCACATCATGGTCAAAACTATTCACAGTCCAACAATTGACAAAAGTCCACAAAATATGCCAATCACTGTCCCAAAACATGCAAGGTTTTCCACGTGGACCAGCTCTGAAATGACAGCAAATGGAAACTTAGAGCCTGGCTGATAAGTGGCCTATCTTCCTGATAACAGGTAGGTAACCGTAACACAGTGTATAAATGTCCATATCTCCCAGGTTAGCCCTTCACTATCAAATGAGGTAACATGACCCCACAATAGGCCAAGCTCTCTAATTACTATGCAGACCACAGTGCATTTGCTGCTGAGCCCATATTCACAAAAGCTGAACTCATCTCAGAGAGCTTGGCATACATTTCAATCACAGTATTATATACCGGAAAATATACAGATAATTATATTTGTGTTTTTAAAAAAATATTGGTTGATGAATTTCCTTTTTCTTTTTTGTGAGCACAAATTGATCTTCAATAAATATGATGTTCATAACATTGCCCTTAAAAAAATAACATAATTGTTGTTATATGATACAAATAACTATTTTGAGCATTAAATAAATGTTTGCTTGGTTTTACATATATAGATAATTTTTATGATTCACTTATATTTAGTATTAAAGAAAATTATGTGTGTTTGTCTTCACATGAACACAAATTAATAAGTATTTATACAATTTTCTTAACATTGAGCATCAAAGAAAATTATGTTTGTTGTTAAGGCCAGGCCAATTTTATTTCTTGTTTTACAGATTTTTTTCCTCAGAAAACCGAAAGGCAGGAGGGGAAAATAATAAAATTAAAATCACCTGTCAAAGTAATATTCCTTCTAAATACTCAAAGTACATGTATTTTAATTTTGGCAATTTATGAAGTGTATATGGGGCAAAAAAACAATCTACAAACAAAATTACTTGTAAGTTTACATTATTGGCCAACTAAAAACATAAGGATTTTCTTTTTTGAGCAGGCAAAATTAATTTTTTTTTTTCTTCTTATTCTTGAAAAAATACGACAGGCAGATCCATAAAACAAGGAAAAAAATTGGTCTGGCTTAAATGTGATACTCAAGATGACAAGATGAGAAATATGTATAAAACATGCATGTAATTTTACTCGTTGCCTTACAGTTAATAAATGTTTTGTCATGTAGAATAATGAAGTCATTTGTTATTCATACAGAACACCAGAATGTTCAAATTTCATGATGCAAGTGATACTGTTGAAAATCATTCACCACTATTTGTTGTTAAGTAAGAAACACTGAACACCTAGCAACCAATTTGTAAACTTGCACTTGTGAATGTTGAATAAGCTGTCAGCTTCACTATTTTATTAAAGTAAATGAATTAAATCGAATGCCACTTTTCATGTTTTGCATATTGCTGTTTGATTAGTGTACATGATCAAAATACACTAATTTTGAATGGTATTGGCCTTCTCGTTCACAGAATCTGATGTCCATGAAAAGGTTACGTGTTGCAAAGGGATACATTCATATTTGGTTACGACAGCCAACAGTTTCACAGGTGGTTAGGGATGGACTCTAGAAGCATCTGGAATAGTTTTGATTAAGACAGACAGATTTGATTGACGCAAGCCACATGGGCCTCTGGCCATACATACAATACAATATAGATAATATTTATGTTGGATGGTGAGGATGACATTATTAATAAGTTAAAAGTTGTTTCTTACACGGAATGCTTCATACACATATCTGCCTAGAGAGTGTTAAGTATTAATATTTTCTGATGATAATAACTGTATACATATATTAACTGAATAATTCTTACAATAATATTTCTTTAAATGAATAGATCTTAGGTTAGTGTACGATGGACACTTGAGTAAAAAGTGTAATTCGTCTTCTATGTCATTAAGATTACAGTTAGTACAAATTCTTTCATCCCGTTGGATTTTATTACTAACATGTCTACCAGTTTCAATTAATAATGTGTGAGATGATAATCTTAATTTACATAATGCAGATCTGTGGTTACAATTTAAAACATTAACTAAATACATTTCGAAGCCAAATTTCACCTTAAATTGTTTGAATAACATATAAGTAGTAGATGTCCTCATCTCCTGGTACCAGTACGTAATGAATTTATCTTGTAGTCGTTGTTTTAATAAAGACATGAAAACTGGAACATTTACCTCTAAGGGAGACAACCATGCATAATAAAAACCGTTGCTCATTAAGATATATTTTACTTTAGAATACCAGCCAGATCTTTCATCTAAAATAGAATACACTTCCCTCATAATACAATTCTCTGATTGAACAACCTTAAACCAAAACTTAACCATCTGTAATTCACGCTGTATGCCAAGTGGGAATCTTCCGAGTTCACCGTACACTAATAAATTACTTGTACTACTTTTAACGCCGAGAACATTTTTACAAAATCTACGATGAACTCTTTCAATACATTCTGCCTGTTTCCATCCCCAAATCTCACAACCATAATGCAAAACAGGTACAACACACTCACCAAACAATGCTAACACTACTTTCACATTTATCTTATTGGTCCTAACTTCTCTGAGTAAAGCATTACACGTCTTCAGGCCCCTATCCGATAATATGTTAATAGCTGGCGACAAGTTTCCATTAGATTTAAATAATAAACCTAAATAATTAAATTCAGCAACAGTTTCAAGGGGTACATTACCATAATAGAAAACCTGCTTTGATAAAATATATGACTTTTGGAAAGTAACTGCTTTAGTCTTATCGATATTTACAGATAGGCCCCAAATATTGCAATATTCTAATAAACTATTAAGTTGAGACTGTAAACCAGATTTACTCATGAAAACCATATCGTCTGCGAAAAGAAGTAAAAACAGCATTATATCGTGTATATCGATTCCAGAAGTAACATTTTCCTGTAACTTTAATTCAAAATCTTCTATGAAAAGGAAAACAATGATGGAGAGAAAATTTCGCCCTGACGTAGACCATATCATATGTACAAACATCGCTAAGCTCATTATTATATCTAACACACGATTTAACATCCTTATACATGGCCCTGTATATGTTGAGAAACTTTCCCCCCTATACCTTACTTGATTAATTTAAGCCACAGTCTGTTACGATAAACATTATCAAACGCCTTCTGGTAATCAATAAAAGCACAAAATAGTTTCTCCTTTCCCTTGAACACATGATCTATCAATCTATCTAAAATAAATATAGCATCTATCGTACTACAACCTGCTTTGAATCCGAACTGAGCATCAGATATCATATTAAACATATCTCTAACCCTACTTGATCTTGCATGAAGAACTTTAGTAAATAATTTACCAAAACTGCTTAAAAGAGTGATGCCTGATTAAGAAAGCGCATAACCAACTGGGAAATACAATTCATCTGTCTCTAAGGAACGATCAACCATCACTCCATGCTGCTCGTTAAGTTAATCTCCCAATAACCTTAGTTGAGAACAGCCTCAAAGAGGCTCCATACTGATCCTTGGGATACATCTCGTTACTGTGAATATTGTCCAACACCAGATGAGTGTCCAGGGATTGATCGAGAAGTACAAACCAAGTGCCTCAGATTATAAGTTCTTATTTCAGGGGCTGAAAAATACCATTGCCTGACGCCCGGGTCAAGTGGAATTCTCTGGTCGGTCAAGTAAATATCCACATTAAACTTTACCGTGGTACAGTAGTGCCAAACTACTGAAATGTTTTGATATATGTATGTTGATTACAAAATAAAAATGCAATTGCTACCAAATTATTAATTGTGATCAAGTGAAATTAATATTTGGTCAAGTGGATTTTGAAAGTTTACTGGACCTGTGTCCAGTGGAGTTTTGAAAAGGATTTCATCCCCTGTTATTTTCTTAAATTCAGAAGTGATTTGACATTGTACATTAACATTGCATTAGATGCAGTAATGAAAAACATGACATTTAAGACTTTATTGCATAATGGCCCTGTTATCCGTGAAATACAACCTACCTCAACAGAGTCAATAGATTAGCTCTACAGAATATACCTAATTACGAAACTAAACTGGAACTTATTTATTTCTTAATTTGGGAATCTTTACTGACACATGAGCAGGTCTATATAAATCCATGATGTTGTGTAGGAATTTCAACCTGTTGTATTAGAGAAGTCAATAATAGCTCCACGGATGTCAAACAATTTGAGTTTACAAGTCATGTTTGAAAGATTTATACTACACTTGGACTGAGAAATTGTTGACCACAGTTCCTCCATTAAATCATCCAGTATATTGAAACAAAGGCAAGAAGCGACTTTGAGATGAACTATTGTAAAATGACATCTAATACTTTCAGTGGTATATCATGGCAGCCTATAAATAATCAAGTCTGGATCAGACAAACCAGTGTTTCATAACGTGACCAATGTCTCACACCCATATAATAATAATAATAACAACAATTCATTTACATAACACCTAGTATTCATCTGACTAGTTGCTCACTGGACGCTGAATTCAGAATCTGATTATTATTACCCCAGATAACCCAAGCTGCCTGTTAGGTGCTAGAAGGTTAATAGCCACATGACTTATCTCATGGATACCCATTTCTGCTGGGTGAACAGAGGCAATTTTGAATAAACTCACTTGCCTAAGGTGAGATCACTTGGGGCATATGGACATGCTATCAATCAAGTCATTGCATCAAACCATCTGATTCATTGCTGGGGGCACACTTTCACTAGAATCCCTTCTGTTTTCATCCTCTTAAATACCAAAAATAATAACAATAATTCCATCATCCATATAATAATTCTATCGAAAATTCTGATGATCAAACTGGAATTTAGATCAGTTTGTGTCATCACTGATGCATCGACAATGATAATCTGTAAACAATATTGTTAGTGACTGAAAAGCTGCCCGACCACCATCCCATGGCTCTGCTGGAAAACTTCTGTAGCTTTAGTGTCGAAAAAGATATTTAGTTTACTGTAAATCACAACTGAATTTCTACAGTAGTCATGTTAACATTTCCAGGTTAATACCTACTGTTTAAGAACTTATAATGCATCTGGTAGCGGTTACTGTAGATTAATTCCAATACAAAAATGGCAATGTTTGTTTGTTTTTCAGA